GTCATCTCAAGGCACTTTACAGTTCAACCAGATCAAATTGATACAAAGTTTTCTATCTAAGGAAAACCAGTTGATTGCATTGACTCATTGACTCAAATACAATCCCCCACACTAAGCATGCTTGTAGCGACAGTGGAGAGGAAAAACTCCCTTTTAACAGGAAGAAACCTCCAGCAGAACCAGGCTCAGTGTGAGCGGCCATCTGCCGAGGCCGACTGGGGTTCAAGGAGACAGAAGCAGAGATACAAAAAGCAGCTGTAAAAGGCGGCCCCGTCCAGGAAACACACAGCCAGGCAGACGAGCTCCAAGGCAGCTCCCATGCCAGAGGACGAAGAAAGCACATCCACTCAGTCACGGTCAGAGAAACAGGACCACACTGGAAAACAGGCCGATCTCCAACATCTATAAACAAGGGTGTTGATAGAAGCAGCACAGCTGATGTTTCTTTCCAGGATGACGTCACAGCCAAACAGGAACAGACGAGGCAAAGCTACTCTGAGGAAAAGCAGAGAGAGCAGAAGGTTAGAGATTGAACTAACAGATTCTGCAGAATAGGAGAACAGAGAGAGAATGAAGCAGAATGATGAAATGGGGGTCCCTATGTCCTCCAAAAGTCTAAGCCTATAGCAGCATAACTATAGAGATAGCTCAGGATAACCTGAGCCACTCTAACTATAAGCTTTATCAAAAAGGAAAGTTTTAAGCCTAGCCTTAAAAGTAGACAGGGTGTCTGCCTCACGGACTAAAACTGGTAGTTGGTTCCACAGGAGAGGAGCCTGATAACTAAAAGATCTGCCTCCCATTCTACTTTTAGAAATTCTAGGAACCACTAGTAAACCTGCAGATTGAGAGCGAAGTGCTCTGTTAGGAACATAAGGAACAATCAGATCTCTGATATAAGATGGAGCTTGGCCATTTAAGGCTTTATATGTGAGAAGGAGGATTTTAAATTCTATTCTTGATTTAACAGGAAGCCAATGAAGAGAAGCCAGGACAGGCGAGATATGATCTCTCTTTTTAATTTTCATTAGAACTCTGGCTGCAGCATTTTGGATCAGCTGAAGGCTTTTAACTACAGTTTGTGGACTTCCTGATAGTAAAGAATTACAATAGTCCAGCCTTGAAGTAACAAATGCATGGACTAGTTTCTCAGCATCACCCCTGGACAGGATATTTCTAATTTTTGCAATGTTCCTCAGATGAAAGAAGGAAATTCTAGAAACCTCTTTGATGTGGGATTTAAATGACAGGTCCTGATCAAAAACAACACCAAGATTTTTTACTTTATTATCTGAAATCAGTTTAATCCCATCCAAATGAAGTGACTGGCTAATCAGTTTCTTTTTCAGAGACTCTGGTCCAAAGACTATAACTTCTGTTTTGTCTGCATTCAGAAGCAGAAAGTTAAGAGTCATCCAGGTTTTTATGTCTTCAAGACATGCCTGTAATCTATGTAATGGGTTAGCTTCATCTGGATTTATAGACAGATATAGCTGGGTATCATCAGCATAACAGTGGAAATTAATCCCATGCTGTCTAATAATTCTACCAATTGGGAGCATGTATAAAGTAAAGAGAATTGGTCCTAGCACTGATCCCTGTGGTACTCCACAGGTAACCTTTGAGCGTGTTGAAGATCTATCATTAACATGAACAAACTGAATTCGATCAGATAGATAAGATTTAAACCAGTCTAGTGCTGTTCCTTTAATTCCAACAAAATATTCAAGTCTTTCTAAAAGAATATTATGGTCAACTGTATCAAATGCAGCACTAAGATCCAACAGGACGAGCACAGATACAAGTCCATTATCTGAGGCCATGAGAATATCATTAGTGACTTTCACCAGAGCTGTTTCAGTGCTATGATGAGCTCTAAAGCCAGACTGAAACTCTTCAAAAAGTTCATTATGGTGGAAGTGATCGCAAACTTGTTTGGCAACTACTTTCTCAAGAATTTTGGATAAGAAAGGAAGATTGGATATAGGTCTATAATTGACCAAGTCATCTGGGTCAAGAGACGGTTTCTTAAGCAGAGGTTTAATTACAGCAACCTTAAAAGCTTTAGGTACATATCCCTGTAACAGAGATAGATTAATCACATCTAAAATGGAGGAGGAGATCAAAGGGAATACCTCCTTAAATAACCTGGTTGGAACTGGATCTAACATACAAGTTGAAGGCTTAGATGAAGACAATAATTTTGCTAATTCAGAGAGTTCAACTGGATCAAAGCAGTCTAAACCCAGTTCAGATTCCATGACTACCTCAGGTACAATCGCGGATAGAGGAGTGCTTATGATCTTATTTTTAATAAGATCAATCTTATTTATAAAGAATCCCATAAAGTCATTGCTGCTAAGAGCAGGTGGAATGGACGGTTCAACAGAGCTATGGCTCTGGGTGAGTTTGGCAACTGTATTAAAAAGAAATCTAGGATTATTCTTATTCTCCTCTATTAATGAGGAGAAGTATGCTGCTCTTGCTTTACAAAGGGTCCTCTTATACAGCAGTAAACCATTTTTCCAGACTAGGAAGGACTCTCGCAGGCCTGTGGAGCGATATTTTCTCTCCAGTTTCCTAGCATTTTGCTTCAAAGTACGCAGCTCTGCATTAAACCAAGGAGCAAGCTTTCTATTTTTAACGGTTTTCATTTTCAAAGGAGCTGCGTTGTCTAAGGCAATACGCAGAGAACTAGCAACCCCATCAACAAAATCATCAACCTGTGAAGGGGAATAAGCTAAACTTTTGCACTCTGCAGCACTGCTCAGTGACACAGAGGAGAGAGAAAGTGAAGCAGATTCTTTAAAATTTATAACTGCACTATCTGATAAAGATCTACTAAAATTGAACCTTCTTTTGGGGGAGGAGAACTCTGTTAAAGTAATCCTGAAGGTTATTAGAAAGTGGTCAGAGAGGACAGGGTTGTGAGGAAATACTGTTATTTCTTCACATTCTATGCCGTATGTCAGCACAAGATCCAAAGTATGAAGATGAGAATGCGTGGGACTATTCACATTTTGAACAAAGCCAATAGTGTCTAAGATAGCATTAAAGGCTGCTCTTAAGCTATCGCCTTCAATGTCAGCATGGATGTTAAAATCTCCCACTATGATGACCCTGTCAGTATTTAATACCAAATCAGAAAGGAACTCTGAAAACTCATCTAAAAATTCAGAGTAAGGACCTGGTGGACGATACAAAGTTACAAAAAGAAGAGGTTTTCTTGCCTTGAAATTTGGATCAGGGAAATTAAGGGTTAAATGTTCAAAAGAGTTGTAGGTATTAACTGTTTTGGGAGTAATCAGTAAGTCAGACTGGAAGATTGTTGCTACTCCTCCTCCTCGCCCAGAACTTCTGGGGATGTGAAAATTTAAATAGCTTGAAGGAGTTGCCTCATTTATGCTCACATAATCCTCTTGCTGCAGCCAGGTTTCTGTAAGGCAAAACAAGTCAATGTGATTATCACAAATCAAGTCATTAACTAGTAGACTTTTAGAGGAAAGCGATCTTATGTTAAACAGACCGCATTTAATTGTTTTAACTTTTTCCCCAATTTGAGTTATTTTGATTTTAATTAGATTATCATGATTTACTCCTTTGGGAATCTTTGCTAATTTATTAGATTTTGGTCGTGGGCAAGACACTGTCTGGATGGAGTAAAGAGTGGGTAACAGTAGAGAAGCTGCAGAGATGTGTGTTAAACTACAACTCTGCTTCCTGGTCTGCACCCTGGGTGGTCAGGGTTTTGGAGGACTAATAAATGTGGCCAGATTCCTAGAAAGAAGAGCTGCACCATCCAAAGTGGGATGGATGCCGTCTCTCCGAATCAGACCAGGCTTTCCCCAAAAGGATTGCCAATTATTAATGTAGCCCACGTTGTTTTCAGGGCACCACCTAGACAACCAGCGGTTGAATGACGACATGCGGCTAAACATGTCATCACTGGTCAGATCAGGGAGGGGACCAGAGAAAATTACGGAGTCCGACATTTTTTTGGCAAACTTACACACCGAAGCAACACTAATTTTAGTGACCTCCGATCGGCGTAACCGGGTGTCATTACCACCAGCGTGAATAACAATCTTACTGTATTTAACCTTATCCTTAGCCAGTAGTTTCAGGTAGGATTTGATGTCGCCCGTTCTGGCCCCCGGCAAACATTTGACTATGGTCCCTGGTGTCTCTAATGCCACGTTTCTGACTATGGAGCTGCCAATCACCAGAGTGGGCTTCTCAGTGGGTGTGTCACTGAGTGGGGAAAACCGGTTAGAAACGTGAACGGGTTGGTGGTGACCAGTGGGCAGAGATCCACGACTACGCTTTCTGCGTACAGTTACCCAATCGCCTGGCTGCTCAGGCACTTTTGGAGGACAGCTACGTGGGGGGCCTACTTCAACAGCCTGAAGCCTGGATTCTAACTCTGACACCCTCGCCTCCAAAGCTACAAAAATACTACACTTATTACACATCCCATTATCACTAAAGGAGGCAGAGGAATAACTGAACATCTGACACAGAGAGCAGGAGAGAGGAGAGGAAGAAGGAAGAGTTGGAAAAGAGTCAAGGGAGGGAGAGAGAGAAGCCATAGCAATGCTAAGCTAGCGCTAGCCTAGGCTAGCTACTCCTTGCTATCAGAAATAAAACCGTGTGAAACTGACAAGTGCTCAGTAGAAAAGTGCAGCAGAAGGTGCTATGTTTTAAAGTAGTCAGTTAGAGTTACTTAGATACAGAGATATCACAGAGAAAATAACTTAACTTCAGATGGAGATCCTCTGAACAGCTGCACACTCAGTTAATCCAAACAGGAAGTGAACAGGTCCAAACAGGAAGCAGGAAGCAAAAACCAATAGAGCTGATCATAGAGCTTTCAGCTATATATATTGTTTAAACAATATATAAAGATGACAGATGGCCTTTGTCCTTTCACCATATGAGATTAAACACTTTCTTATTTTGTTGTCAGTTAGGATAACAAAATGATTCCCTTAACACCGATATAATAAGAGAAAATCGTTTTTATTACTTTCAAATGTAGAAGAGCTTACAGTGAAATCATATGTCGTTCAATTCTTGTTTTTAACAAGGAAAAGATGTTAGTTTTTACTTTCAGATTTTACATAGAGATTTAATTTAATGTTATAAAGTGCAGCATTAAATGCAAAGTAGCTCCCTATGAGAAGTAATGCATTAATGTTCAAAGGATTCACAGCTGCTTATCACTGGTTACTGACATTAAAGCGTCATTTTAAAACTGTAAATAGGCCTGAAAACAAACTAGCAAGTCAGTGAACTCAAGGCAATGGAAATAAGACTGAAATCTGAAAAGAAAATTAGATTTGGCTTCATTATCAGATGTTTTATGAATGAAGTTGCGTGTAACCATGTGTGGATTTCTATCCGTATGTTTATATGTACAAAAAGCAACTTTTTAATTACAGTTAAGACTAATTTTTAATGGAAATTGGGAACATTGTTGTTGTTAAGCACTATAGGAGGGTGAAGGAGTATGATTAAATAAGTTTCACTTCCTTATATCCCTTTTCAGACATAAGAACTTAATTATACATATAAAATATGTGTGACATTAATTATGAATAAAGTTAGCATTTTTTTCGGATTGTCTGAAGCAAAGTAATTCATTCATCACCGTGGCATTTAAATTAAACATTTTTCTTGTGTGCTACTTGAAAGTAATCAGGTACTCTGGATATGCATGAGAGTCATGAAACACTACAAACATGTTGGGTTTGGTCAGGTTGTCCACCACGCTGTCATACAAGTAAACATCCGAGCCCCCTTTAGGTGGTGGAGTGATCATGTCCTGCTGAGCCAGGGTGTAGTCTCCTGTCAGCACTCTGCAGAGGTACATGAACTTCTCTCCGTTCTGATTGGGCTTGGAGTAGGTGTCATTGCTAGAGTAACTGGCATTAACAGCAAAGTAGGAGCCTTTGCCATAACAGGTAGCTGAAAATGGAATAACAGTCAATCAGAGAAGAAATCTGTAAATTAGTTACAGACGTTGTCATAAGTATATTTTTTTCTTTATTGAAATAATTCTTCAAAATCAAAACTCTTAAGCCCCGTTTTTTTTATAGATTTGCTTTAAATGAGCTAAGCTTTTTTTGTGGCCCTTCTTTCTACATGATATGGAAATAAAAGCCAAAAATAAAAGTGGCTGATAAAGGAAAAGAAGAACATGCATATATTTTTCACTGAATATCCCTTTCTGAAAAATATAAAAAGCATCAATCTGCCTCAGCTCTTTTTGCTGGAAGAATACATTTGAAATGTGATAAACATGTGATACAGGTTCATCTTTGGTGCTTCTGAAGATGGTGGACTCCAGTAGTTTTATAGTTGCTTGAAAATAATTTCCAAAAACTCCTAATTAGATTACTGTAGGTTTACTTTGATAGTTTTCTTTTGAAAACAACTCTAAAATTTGCTGATGACGGTTCTCAGTCATCCAGGTCATAGTCATTCCGTAAAATTCAAAAAATATCCACTAGACTTGGTTTTCAAGATTTGAAAACCAAGTCCAGTGGATATTTTTTGAATTTTTACGGAACTCTAAAATTTGCAATGGTCTCCGATAAAGGTCTAACCTGACTCTGCCAGATGGATTTGCTCCGCATTTCCATCTGGAAACCTTCCGTTGAAGTAATTTTGGGAAGGGGCGAAAATACTGGTTAGCTGATTGGCCTATGTTGGTGATAGACGGGCCAAATAAACCAATCAGATCAACGAAGCATATGACGTACTAACAGAGCGACGACGAAAACACAACCACAACCCAGGCTACTCTTGCTGAAACCAGTCGGGAGAAGAGCAAAAACATCTTTTCCTCTGAGAAAAGCCTCCAGAGCAGTGTTTTGCTCTTCTTTCAGTGAAGAAATACTCTGTAATTCCGATAAAACTTGCTCGATAGCCACGCTAACGCTAGTTTCATCGGCTGAAGCCGCCATGTTCTTTAGACTGAACTGTCGCGCTTCTCGATGCGTCACACCTCAACCCGCCTCAAAGCCAACGCTGATTGGACATTCGTTTGGTAAACGGCTCCAAATTTTCTTCAACAGAGAGTCTCCAGACTGATTAGCGAGTGAAATCTTGAAAGCTCGCGAGATCAGGATGGTCTCACGAGGCTAATAAAGGTCTAGATAGTTAATATACACTAATGATGCTTTATATCAAGCATTTTTAACTTGCATTGTTTTAAAGCTGTAAAATCTGATAAAGTGCGTGGCTAACTGTTTTGTCTTTCCTACAGAATTTAACAGGTTACCCTTGGTTTTTTTTCAAACACGGGTTGACTGGCTAACAATCGGCATTTGGCTCCCTTCCCATTGACAAAAAACTGCTGGCAAGCTGCATGGCCTCTGTCCCCCTGCAGCTCCATGACTGGTGACACCGTCATGCTGGGTTAGGGTCGATGATGTCACCAGTGCGACAGATATCAGGGAAGTAAACAATGGAGAGCAACATGTAAGGAAGCGGGGGCATAGTAAGTGTGCTTTATTTCTGCGCCATGTTTAATGAATGTTAACACTGTTGTTTCGGCATGTTAGATCAGATGGGAGGGGCACGGTGTGTTGATGTCTGTATTAATAATAATTGAACTTTATTGATTTCACATTGGAGAAATTTACTTCTGCAAATATCCAATCCCTTTGGGGAGCGGTGGACTGCCATTGTGCGGCGCCCAGAGAGCAATCAGGGGTTAAGGGTCTTGTTCAGGAACCCAAAGTGGAGGCAGTGGGATTCAAACCGGATAAAGTAGCAGCCATTCAAAATGGGCCTTCCCAGTCAAACGCCACCTGAATCGACTCGCCTGCTAGTCCCTCCAAGATCCCCACCAACTTCCACCCACTGGCCTTCTCCTGGGGGCGAATTTTTTCACTCTGACTCCACCCTTTCACTGACTTACAGGGTCTGACCAGGAGTTGAGTCTTTAGATCTTAATGTCCACAAATTATGACAGAAAGAATATTTTAGTACAAAGATTGATGTTTAGAAATGAATTGTGGGACCAGCAAAGGACCCATTAAGGAAAGTCGGGAGATTTTGAACGGCTACTATTGTACTTGCAACCTCATCAGAGCACAAGCACTATGCTCTAACCCACTAGGCCAACACTCCCCTTGTTTTTTAATTTCTTTTCTATAATAATTTATATTGCACTCAATGGTATCACGTAACTTAGCGGTACTGTTGTTCCCGCGGCACGCCAATAAGAGCTGAGGTGAGACTGTTCCCACTGCCACGAAAAGTCAATTGTTCCCGGGTTTTTTGGCCAATGGGCAAGAGAATACTTTACTAAAAAGTCAAAAAAAATCACATCTGACTTTCAGTTAAGGAAACTAATGCTAATAATTTTAGCCAAGGGGCTTTAAACCTTTGCTTTCATGGCACAAGTTTCTGCCCATATAGATAACTTTAAACAGGCCTTGCTATACCTGCAGCGGCAATTACATCTCTGAGCACCGGTGTTACAATTACACTGTTAAAATTACATCTGAACTTAGAAGTTTTGTAGAAAAGTTACTGATTTGGTGCATGGATAACCTCCAGTCACCTTTTGAAAGGTCAAGGAAATCCTTAGATTCTCACCGTTTTTTCCCGCGTAGCTTCTGTTGAAGCCTTGAGCATTGATGATGGGGACAGTGGTCTCACATGTGCCGTGGAAGAGACGTTTCTCATTGTTCTGATGATTATTTCTCACCTCCATATCATGTTTTCTGATCTGAAGACTTTTCCACATCGCAGGGTTCTGGATCCTTTCAATCTAATAACAGAGATATGCATTTTAGCACATTGCCAAAGGTCTTTGAAAGACTGGCTTTCTTTTTCTACTCGTCTATCGTCTAATACAAATAATTGTTTTTTTATCAACTCAGGAAAAACATCTCTAAAGTTCATGTGAGAGCAGAGCATCTTTATTGGTCGTGTTACCTTAGTGACGGCTCGTTTACACGTGGCTTGGAAGAGATTAAGGACTTCGGCGTACTCTGGAGACGTTGCCTGGATGGGGACAGAGTGACACGTTTGGCCAGCCGGCATTGGCTCCCAAAACTCAGGAACATCATCAGCTACGAAAAAGAACAACAATGTTTCATTAGCTTTTTGATAACAGAACACTTTTAGTTAAATTAATTTAAAATAAAATAAAAATATGATCAGGATTTAATAAAGAATGTTAAATACAATCCTATTTATGGCTGACGTACCTTTTAGTTTGTCGATTCTCCTGATCTGCAGGGTGATTCCCTGGCTGTCAGTAGCTGGTCCTTTAGGCATCTGAACAGTATAGTTTGAGCCCTGGATGGTAACTTTTACACTGGTTATTCCCTTCTCCAAGGCATGCTCAAGCTCATAGTTGGTCACCTGATCAACACTCTGATACTGAAGCCCCTGACGCTGATACTGCCATTCTGCCACTGTAGCGGCCAAATCATATTTCTTCTTCAGCTCCTGCTCACCTCTCACCTTCCTCAGCATCATATCTGCCTCCTTACTGGCCTGAAGCACATCTTTATTGAGACCTTCAATAACTATTGAGGCTTGGCCATTATTTATATGATGCTTGATGCTCACACCCATGCTCTTTTGAATGTCAACGATGCGCTGACAGTCTGCCAAAGATAAGTTTAAGATGTCATTGTCGGTTATCTCCATGCTGCCTTGTTGGTCGGATATCAGATCATTTATCTTCTTCTTCGCTGCATCTATGCTGTTCTGTGAGTCACCACAGATGTGGAATAAAGTAGGCTCCACTTCGATGGTCTCAAAATCAAAAACCTTTTGGTCTTGTTTTTTTTCAGGACTTTCAGGTATAAATATTGCTGTAAAAATAAAAATACTTAAATAAGAATTTAAGATCAAAACTTGATCATTGTAATGATAGTGAAAAAAACTGTTTCCTCTCCATACTAGCCTTTAATCTTTTGGCCAACATTTTGGAGGAATCCTGCTTTATCCTTTGGATCAGGCACTTCCCTTTCTTGCATGCTGCTGCAGAAATCTTTTAGCATGTTTTGCTGAAAAATAACAATCCGGATTAAAGTCAGGGAGCTGGAGGTGTTTTGGCTCATCACATCAATGACTGCGTCCAACATGGAGTCTGCCACCGCTTTCGCTGCTACGTTGCCTTGGCCTGAAAAGGGTTGATAAAAATCGTTGAGGGTTCAATTATGCAAAATCTAAAAAAGTACTTTCGACATACGAAGTTAAAGATTTAGGATGAGCTTTTGTATGCAAAGAGAAAAAACACTTTACAGGTTTCTTTGGATCCATTTGGATAAAAATAATCAAATACAGAGTGGATTAGTCTTTTTATTCACGGCTTCAAGACTGCATACCTTTTCAGGAATTTAGATTATTAGGAGTTTAAGCACTCAAATAGAAATAAGCTGGTAACCTTTGAACAAACATATTTTCTAGAATCTGTTGGTTATGGAAGAAAAACAGTCTCATTGGAATCTGCCTTTTTTTTTTAACACCGAATTTTAAACACTGAATTTTTTTTAGACAATGAATTCCTTACACTCAATTTTTATCTGGTCAAAATTCTCCAGAAAAAAAATTCTGCTGCAAAAAAATTCAGCTGCAAAATCCAGAAAATTGAAAATTAAGTGTAAGGAATGTCTAAAAAAAACAATCAGTGTTTAAAAATCGGTGTTAAAAAAATTCAGTGTTTAAAATTCGGTGTTAAAAAAAAGGCAGATTCCAATGAGACTGTTTTTCTTCCATAGTTGGTGTGCCTTACCTGTGCCAATGGCAGGAAACGACACAGAGGTGTGGGAGTTCTTCACACACAGCTGGAGTGCTTCCTTCACTGCCTGGTGGATTTCTGATGGATTTGTCTTTCCGACCATGTGGAGAATCTTGCTGCTCTTTAGACTACCAGGTGCAGTCATTATCATGCCTGAATGGGGCTGGGAAGCTGGTAGGGTGTTACAATCATAAGCACATCCAAGCTGTAGAACTAAATCAACTATAAACTCAGCATGCAAACCAGCAAGAGTTTCTGTAATTACCAAGTTTTGTACATTCATCTACAATAGCAGGACCAGCTGCATCCAGAATCGCTTTGGATACTCCTGGGAAAGAAGATAAAGTGAAAGTTAAAACATTATAATGAGAAGGTTTGTTTATTTCAAACTGAAAATCTGTAAAAGTGTAAACAGACAAGATGTTACATTAATATATATTGTATTAATGCATCAGTGTTGTTAAGAGAATTAAAGCATGCATTAGTGCAGTTTGATCAGTGTAACTTTGCATGATATTACATATTACATATAGCCAGATTTACCTGACTTCAGAGTGAAGTTATCATTTGAAGAGTTGACGATGATGTCAGTGGTCTCCTTAGTTATATCTCCAGTCACTACCTGCACCGTCACCTTCCCCAGTTTAGTCTCATGCATTCCTGAACTGGAGACCACTTTACAGAATTTGCCTGCAGGTAGACATAGGCCAGACAGAAATTGCAATTAAACTCTGAAATGATACAGCTATGAAAAAAATATATATATATAAAAGTGTGGTTGTGAAATTCAGTTGACTGGAAAAATCTGCCCACCTTTACTTTGTGAAGAGTTTGCTGGAAGTGAACCTTTAGCTGCGGAAGGAGCTGTGGCACTTGGGAACTTCTTCTTAAATTCATCAGTAAATACCTGTGGAACAAGTGTAAAACATTGTCCTTATAGTAAAGGCATCTTTCATCTTCATAAATCAATTCCAACAGACAAAATAGGGTTTTTAAATTCTTAAAATTCTGTAATAAATAAAGTTGCTGCAGCATTTTAAATGGATGCTATATACAACATGAGCAAATGTATTTGGCTCTCATGCATAGCAAAATGCTGTACAATCTTGTTCTTAATATATAGGGTCTAATTAAAGATTAAATTAAACTTTATTGATCTCACAGCATTCAACACATCTCTTTTTTGGGAGGCTGCCACTGTGCAGCTATCGGGGGTTAAGTACGGTGGCTCTGAAGTGCAAACTGCAACTACAAATCTAAAAGCGCAACTACATTAAGGAAATCGCAACTACATAAAGCAAAGTGCAACTACATTAAGAAAAACAAAACTACATAAAGCAAAGCGCAACTATATTAAGGAAAACACAATTACATTAACCTACTGGAAAAGGTAGGTACGAGTGGGAAACATGAGACATCGCTGATTGGACGACGGCGCTGTTTGACTGTTGAACCGGAAGTTGCGTCGTCTGAACAGTCCAGCTTCTTTTAAGTGTGTCTTCAGTGTACTAAACTATCTGAAATTTTGCGATTGGTCTTGAGCATATCCAGTATCACCTCGTACGGCAGCTATGTTTGGGGCGCCGACAATATCCATGTTTGCAAAAGGCGCAGCATGTCTCATGTTTCCCACTGGTACCTACCTTTTCCGGTAGGTTAATGTAATTGTGTTTTCCTTAATGTAGTTGCGCTTTTAGATTTGTAGTTGCAGTTTGCACTTCAGGGCCACCGTAGTTAAGGGCCATAGAGGTAATCTGCAAGGGTTTCAAACTCAAAACCTTAACCATAACCTTCATATGCGACCACTCCTATAAAACAGCATACATTGCCATTCGACCCAGGTGGGACTTGAACCCACAATCCCCAGCTCCGGAGGCTGATGCCTTATCCATTAGGCCACTGGGCCTGCTATGTGGGAAAGTCATCTCCACTTTAGGTTTTATAGAATTAGACTGCTAGAAGACATACAGACCCTTTTTCATCATGCTACCCATCTATCTATCTCTATCTCTATTATTCCATTTTGCAGAATCTGTTAGTTCAGTCCCTAATGTTCTGCTCTCTCTGCTTTTTCTCATAGTAGCTTCATCTGGTCTGTTCCTGTTTGGTTGTGACTCCATCCTGGAGAGAAATATCAGCTGTGCTGCTGCCATCAACACCTTTGTTATAGATGTTGGAGCTTCACCTGTTTTCCATTGTAGTCCTGTTTCTCTGACTGTGACTAACTGTATGTGCTCTCTACATCCTCTGACATGGGAGCTGATCTGCCTGGCTGTGTGATTCCTTGATTGGGCCGCCTGCGGAGCTGATTGACAGTTGTCATTTGTATCTCTGCTTCTTTTTCTATGTCTGCTTCTGTCTCCTTTAACCCCAGTCGTCCTCGGCTCACACTGAGCCTGGTTCTGCTCTTTTTCTCTCTATTGTCGCTACAAGCATGCTTGGTTTGTGGGATTGCTGAAGATTCAATGAGTCGATGAAATCATGTGGTTTTCCTTAGAAAGAAAACTTTGAATCAATTTGACTATGTTCTGGTTGAATTGTCTCTGTAAAGTGCCTTGAGATAACATGTATTGTGAATTGGCGCAATAGAAATAAACTGAATTGAACTGCTACGTTAACATTTATCATAAGGTCCGGAAGTCAAGTCAGAATGGGTCTATGCGCATGAAGTCAAGGCTGCAAGTTTCTGCAAGCAAAACTTTAGATATCCTCTGATTGCTTCAACTAAATAAGAAAATAGCAAAGAAAGAAAGAATCATCTTAAACATTTAAAAGTGAGCCAATATACTAGGATATTTCAGAGAAATTCTGCAGTATTCCTTGTAAATTCACAAGCCTCCATAAGAATTTGTATGGTTATCTCTGATAAACAGATGCAAGAGCAAATGGCTAGAATACGAAGCAAAACAATGTTCTTAACCTGCCTCTTTTTATTTTAAGCATTGATGCTAAGCTTTAAAAAACAGATTATACTTCATTCTAGATGTGTGCTTAGAATCCAAAATATTACATTGATTTTTATTTTTTCATTACCTTAATAATCTCAGTATTTCCAGGATACAGAATCACCACAACTTTCTTAAGGTTCTTGGATTGTCTCTGACTGCTGAATTCTAAGGTTTTATCCAGCATCAAGGAGGCAACAAGATCTTTTGGAAAACCTAACTTTCCAGTGCCAACTGTCGGGAAAGATATGGATGTCAAACCGGTTTTCTCTGCCAGGTCCAAGCAATCCTTAAAGATCCCACTTAGAATCTGAAAGACAACATGTAAATCAGATATCTAGAAGTTTCTTCAAAAATGTGTCATTTTGCAAAAAAAATGCAATCAGAGCTGAAGCGATACACATATATCGCTGAAATTTGATCAGATTAAAGATTTTGCTCATTTTACACACAATGATAATGATACTGCACCTTTTCAGAGGCCCCTTTGCCGTCGTCCCAGTTTGGAGCAATCGCATGGAAAACTTGTTTGCTCTTTAGATTGCAGCTGTCTGTAACAATAACATCACCTGCGGCTCCACTAGTTTTCTGGCTATGTACCAGTTGCTGAAGCTTGGGTCCAGCTGCATTGCTGATGGCATTTGAAATCGCCCATTTGTTCAATAAAAGATCACCAGGTAATGGGTCTAAAATTACATCAGTCTGAAAATGTGGTATAACAATTAATATGCTAAAGATTTGATTTCAGTTTCAAAAATTTTCTTTTAAATAGATACAGAAATTTATATTTACCTTTGCATCCTCAATATTTCCCTTTTTAAGAACAACTTTCAAGCCCTCTTTGGTCTGTGCTCTGCACAAGCTGTGGTCAGGTAGAGCTAGCTTAATAAGAGGAGGCTTTGGACTAACTTTAGGCAGAGGTTTTGGTGGTGCAACACCAGCTCCTTGATTTCCAAACTCTTGCTTCACAAAGGCCACCATACCAATAGCGACGCTGTCATCATTATCCACCAGATGGATCGCCTTCAAGGTGAGGTCATCATGCCTTTCATCACAGTACTCCTTAACTGTTGTAACAATGGTGCTTAAGCACAGACTTAGGGAGAAGCCGAGATTTCTACTGATGGCGGGAAGAGCCACAGAAAAACAGCTTCTCTTTTCAGCAAGATCCAGGCTTTCTTTGACGGCTCTTCTCAACTGGGCCTCAGCCTTCTTTGGCTTATTAGGATCAAAGCTTGGTCCTACGGCATGGATCACTTTTTTGCAACGAAGGCTTCCCCCAGCATTAGTCACAACACAGTCTCCAGGCCTGAGTTTACCCTTTAAGTTGATTATTGTGTCACATTCAGCTTGCAGCTGAGGGCCTGCTGCTTTTGAGATTGCCAAAGCAAGACCTCCATTGTGTTTCAAGTCATCAGTAGAAGGATTGACAACAGCATCGACTGAGTAACTACATATGTCTGCCTTGGAAACCACTATTTCCCTCCCATTGCTTGTCTGAATTTTGAAAATGGGTTTTTGTACTTGTACAGTGGCAACATCTTTGTAATCTTTATTAGAGTCACCAATAAGCTGGACCAGGCAGCCAGTCTCAGTCTTGATTAAGTTAACATAAATGGATTCCTTATCCAGAAATAACTTTTTAACTCCTGGTTTTGTGACTTTTAAACTGTCAAAGTACACAGAGGAGAGCGAATCCTTGACTATGCTTATGCAACTGTGTACAGCATTTCTACAGCCACTTAGGATGATCTCCTCCTTTCCAAAAGACACATCCACCCCACCTTCTAGCTGTTTTAACCAGGGTGCCTGACCTTTAAGGTACTCAATGACAACATTTGCCTTAACAGCAACAAATTCTTCAACGTGGGCATTTTGTGTTAAAAAGTCATCTATTTCACTGCTAACTTTGTCCACATTGTCCATCTGACCAGACACTACCACTTGCTGATGATGAACTTTAATCTGAGTTCTCATTCCTGACACACTGTTGGCTTTTTCTAGCTGATGGACAAGCTGCTGCCACTCTGGCTTTTTCAAGACGTCATTGTCTTCAACCTTGATGTACTCAGACTTCAGGATTTGGCTTAGGTGGTCTTGAGCACTCATTAGATCCTTGTCAGAAACAACAACAAGCTGTACTCTTTGTGGACTGATTTCTAAGGCTGCTTTTAGACCATAGGCTGTGAGAAGTACATCTGTGGCCTCCTCTTGTTGTTCTTCCTTCAGCATGTCAAGCAAAAATTTATCCAATTCTAAATTCTGTCGTTTTAATGCAAACATTGCATTGTTTATTTCTTGGCTTGCAGTGGTAATCTCTTCCACCAAGCCAGTTACTTTCAAAGCTTTCTTCTTTTGGTCATATGACAATTTGAGTTCTGGGTACATTTTCAGGAGTTTATCCTGAATACCATCTTGAGAAATGAGGAAAAAGATTGATGGGGGCAAATTTATTTCTTGAGTCTTGCTTAATTTCTCCCGTCTAACCTTTTCTCCAATCCTGCTAAGAACTTCTGAAACAGGTTTCTCAAGTGTGTTAACTTCATTTACAAGACCGACCATGTAAAGATTACCACTGGTTTTATCAGGAACTACAACCACGTCTTCTTTCTGGAGTTTCTCTTTAATCTTCTGCACAGACTCTTCCCATACCTCAGATTCCAGGGGAAAATTGATGGATTTGAATTTAGAGACAGACTGACTGAAGGCTGATCTCACAGAATTTGCCCACTCTTTGATGATGACTTTGGCTTCTTTTTGCTTAAGTAATAAAGGCAGGGCACTGAGGCGGACAGCAGACTTCTCCAGGGTAATGATGCAGAAGTGTTTTTCCAAGTCACAACGAATGGTCTCCAGAGCAGCTTTGTTTTCAGCAAGGTATCTTAGCATAGCATTGTCAATGGGTTCAGATATGGAAGCAGGGAGTTTTGGTGATGGCTTATCTTTCCCATACAGTGCAACGCCCAAAGATTTGTAATATGGATAGACTTTGACTTCCTGCTTTTTTATGCTGTGCTTCATACTCATTACTTTCTTGACATCTGTAGGGAAATATATAGAAGTAAACTCCACAGATCAGTCATGTTTCTAAATCATAAATGATACGTTCAGCATTAACTGCAATTATTATGGTGTAGAGCAGCTAAATTACCTTGGTGGTCCTTAAATGTGATTACAGCAGACTGTTCAGTTTCGTTAAGTTTAACATCTTCAATATCTCCACCTTTACTCTCAAAGTAGAGGTGCAACATGTCTTCACTGAAGTTTAAAACTCCTTCAACAACAACCCTCCTTGTCGTCTCAAGGGGTCGGATTGAAAAGCCCTTCCTTGTGAACATCCGATTTTTAGGGCATCTGTCTATAAACTCTCTGTTAACTGCGAATAAAAAAATAAAAATGTATTTCAAGATGTTACATTAATAGTTTTACACACCTAAACCTAGTGGTTACCTTTTCCACCCTGGAATGTCACAACAGCAGATGAGATGTCAGGAATGAGTTCCAAAATGTAGTCCTGGGAGGCAGTTGGAGAGCTTGGATCTCTCAAAATGTTCTCCACAATCATTTCCAAGAATTCTTGTGTTATAGACTCTGGAATGTTCTCTATAACAGCCGAGGTGGACCACTGCTCTTCATCGGCTGAATCTCCATCTTTGCCAATTGCCTCCCTCTGACCTTTACCCACGGGACCCTCAGGTATTGTCCAATTTTTGGTCAATGCTTGATTGACTATTTGTGAGATATGAAAACTGAATGAGTAACAACTTTATTTCCAAGAACCAAATAATATGAGTCCCTTTTGAGGCAAAGTTGGTCCACGATTATGAACTGTATTATGATGAGCTTACAGGGAAATATTGAGAAGCTGTACTGTCTAATGATGATTTATACCTGTTTCAAAAATGGAGAGAATTTTTGCAGCTTAGTAATTTGGCTTTTGTACCTTTTTGCTTCAGTAATGATGGTGAGACAGCAGACTGCTTCTGGGTAATGTTGAAGAAATGTTTTTCCAAATCATGACGAACGCTCTCCAGGGCTGCTTTCTTATCAGTTACGTAGCCCAGGACAGGTTTGTTTGCAGGTTTGGAGATTACAGCAGGAAGTTTGGGTGATGTCTTATCTTTTCCATATAGTGCTACGCCCAAAGATTTGTAAAATGGATAGACTTTGACTTCTTGCTTTTTTATGTTGTGCTTCATACTCATTATTTTCCTAATAGCTGTGGGATGAAGTAAAATGTCACACTACATGTTTTCACATTACTATCTGTCACACTTGCAACAATTAAAATGTAGGGAAGCTAAATTACCTTTACAGTCCTTAAATGTGATTACAGCAGACTTTTCAGCTTCATTAAGTTTAACATCTTCGACATCTCCACCTTTACTCTCAAAGTAGAGGTGCAGGATGTCTTCACTGCAGTCTGAAAACCCTCCAGCAACAACCCTGTTTGTCGTCTCAAGGGGTCGGATTGAAAAGCCCTTCCTTGTAAACATCCTATTTTTAGGGCATCTTTCTATAAACTCACTGTTAACTGTGGATGAAAGGTAATAATCATAAAAACAAAAACATATTTCAAGGTGTTGTGAATATATTTGTTACCTGTTCCTTTCTCGAATGTCACAACAGCAGATGAGATGTCAGGAATGAGTTCCAAAATGTAGTTCTTGGCAGCATTCGCAGGGCTTATATCTCTCAAAATGTTCTCAACAAGCATTTCCAAGAATTCTTGTGTTACAGACTCTGAAACATTCCCTAAAACCGTCGAGGTGGAACACAGCTCCTCATCGGCTGAATCTCCATCGTTGCCTTTTGCCTCCCTGTGTCCTTCATCCATGGGATTGTGTTCCTTAGCTGTTGACCATTTGTTGGTACCTGTATAACTGACTGTGAGATATGAAAGTTGAATGAGTAGGAACCTATTTTCCAAGATCTTTTCCAAGTTAATTGCAAGCAGGTAAAATCTTTAAAAAAAAGTGATATTTCACTTTTGTCAAAATATTTAAGGCCATGAATATTGATGATATTGATATTATTTGCAAACCCCTTGTCAGGACTCCTGTCTGTGTGTTTGTTTTTGTGTTGTTCTCCCTTCCACCAACAGGAGGCGCCTGGTTCCGGTCCGCCTCCCCACACACCTGCTGACGGTTACCTCGTTAATGGAGTGATTTTAAGCTGCTAATTGCCACTACCTTGACGCCAGAGTGTTTGCCAGTTTTTTGTACTCTAGCCAAGCTGAGTTTTCTCTGAGTAAAACTGAGTTCTTTTCTCCCTGAGTTTTAACTTTGTTTTTTGTCCTTTGCCTCTCGGCAGGAAGTCATCCTGCAAACTGGACCTTTTCGGACCTCCTCTCCCAGGAGGGATCAACTGAGTCTTAAACTGAGCCAGGGATCCAAACAGGAAGTTTGGATCCAGTCTCCTTTGAGGACATTGAATATACTCTCTGAGCAAGGGAATCATCTTCACCACGACCCGTTCAAGTACAGCAGGAAATCTGAGTGGCAATCAGCGTCTCCGTTCCCCTACACTGTCCGAGTTCTGGGTAAACCCTGTTCCGCCCTCCCCCGAATCAGACATCCACTGGAAAACCCACACACAGATAGGAGTCAAGGATCCTTCACTTCTCTGGAATCGTGAGTCAACAATCAGATCCTCTCCTTCAAGATCAACAAATCAAATTTCCCACTGAGCCTGAACTAACAGTCTGTCTTCCCCTTGCCTTCCAGTTACGGCTGAGCAGAGTTCAGGGAAACTCTGCACCGAGCTTAACATCTTCAATAAAACCCTCAAACTTCTCATCTGTGTCTCTCTGTTTGGACTTCTGTATTTTTGGGTCAGACCTTAATTAAATCATGACACCCCCTATAATAAGATTGTAAGAAAAATGTTTTAGTATTGATACTATAAAGATTTGAAAAATTAAATTCAATTATTTAAAATAAATACATTGCATATCAAATAGTAGATGTCGCTTTAATAGGTACTTACCTTTTTTTCTGCTTTTATCAGATAGATCCTGTTTAAGACAAAAGTAACACATATTTTAATATTTCTGCTTTATAAAATATTTTATAACTTTTATATCCAGCAAAATTCATTTCAACTAGTTAGCAAATGATCCAGTAAAGGTAATATTTGAAATAATAGAGAAACATTATTTATAATATGCTCTCAAGCACACAAAGTGAAAGGACAAAAGCAGAAGTGACATCATGCAGGAATTCATACTGGAATTCTGATCAGTCATTTGACTTCCAGTAAATTTTAAAAACACTGCAGGGCAAGGTCTCCTTCTTTAGTGTTTAACCATAAACATAAAACAAGGTGTTTTATCGGTCCTTGGCAGATCAGGTCAACATAAATATACATGATGGATTTGATCATTAATGTCTCCAATCAGGCAAATGTCAAACATGTTTACAGCATCTGCTGGTGCGTCATCAGCCTTTTAATTATTACTGGAATAATTATCCCAATGGTACTAGATATTGCAAGACTCAAATATAAAGCTGCCCACTCTGCTAAACAGGTACCGTAATTAACTTTCGCACTCACCCGCTGCCCTGAAGGAAGGCGAACTGTCATTTTTAACACTCCCTCGTCCAAATTGATCTGGTGCTCCTGTTTGGTCAGGACATTTTTCTGGTCTGAGGGAGAAAACAGGCTGAATCCAGAAGGTTTTACTGGAGATCTGTCATGAAAATGATACTCTGGGACTTACCTTCCTTCCTGCGGAACCGCAGCAGTGCAGTTGTGCTGCCAGGCTCACACTCCACCTCGCAGTCTCCTCCATTAGACTTCTTACTCTGAAAATACTTTATTAATTTATTTTTCAGTCTCGATGAGTTGGTTTTCTCAAACTCCACTAGAACCGGGTAGGAATAACCCTCCGCCATTATACTGGCCTCCCACTCTCTGTTTGGTCAGTCTGACCAAACAGAGTGAACCAAAGTGAACACCTTCACTTTGGTTTCTAATGGCAAAGAGAAAGCAGCTGTGGGGAATGTTACACAAATAGGCACAGCAGGAAGAAGGATATAACTGGAACTAGCTGTTTAACAGGTTTATCTACATTCTCATCCAGACAGCTGATGCTCAGAATTTACTCATGACGTGAAACCAAGGAGGCACCAAAGTGAGAACATTGTCTAACTCAGAATTAGTAATCATTTATCTCTGTCAAACCATTCATACTTATTTCCAAACCTGGTTAAAACTGAGGGAGAAAACAGGCTGAACGACATGTGGTTAGCTTTACTGCTAACCACATGCCAGGAATCATAAGATGCCAAACACCGTGCCACCAATACTTTTAGATCATAGACCAAACCGCCTCTCACAAGATGGCTGACACACACACACACACACTCGAGTGGCAGTGTATATAAAAAAGTGAGTTTGGACTGGGAGAAAGGAACGCAGAGTCAAACGAGAGAAAAAACACAAAAGAAGGTGACAGAAAAACATATTTACCATGATAGGATGGCAGTTGTAACATCAAAAACACAGAATGTGAATGTTTGCAATAACTTTAGCAAAAATAGTTCAACGAGCTCCTTCAATACACCATTAAAACTTCATTGGATCCACTGCAGACCCAAACTTTGTGGTCTGGTGCCAGCAGAACAACCTTCTGATTAATGCAGGGAAAACCAAGGAGCTAGTGGTGCACTTTTGCAGAAGCAGATTCACCCCACCAGCGGGGAAACATCCAGGGAATGGACATTGAGATAAACCAGATACCTTCTCACTACAAATTCTACTCACCCAGTAAAGATACCCATTAAATGATGAAGGAACTGTCTTGCTTTATCATGTGTAAAATTCTGACCCTTCCTGACAACTTCTGACCCCTCCTGATGCTTCTTTAATGTCAAACAATTAAATAAGAGGATAGAGATGTCCTGACAGAGTTGACCAAAGATATTCAGAGAGTAACTGTGTTTGTGTTGCTTTATTTCTAGCACAATACGGGGTTAGTATCATTAAACCTAACAGTCAACAAACAGTAAAACCTCATTCTATCTATTCCCATCTGATGCTCAAATAAGATGCTTAGCTTGGGCAAGTGTAGTTAGTTGGGTTAGTTTGGGTTTTAGTGAGAGTCTTGATTTTTAAAGGTTCATCTAAAAAGAGTTTGAAACAGAACACTGGTTTCATGAAGTGTGTGTGTGAGATGAGATTGGGTTATTTTCTTTTGTTGTTTCTTTCTTTCTCTCTTTTTTTCCTGAAGTTTGTGTGCTAAAGGTGGCTTGATAGCATTTTGAGCCCTTGTGATGCCTCATTGTGGTCACTTGATGTAGGGGCGGCCATTTTAGGAGTTTTTTGTGTGTCTGAAGTATTAGTCCCACCATTCCCTTTTGGTCATATGATAGGCGCAGCCATTTATGAGTTTTACGACCATTGTGCTACCTATCAGGCCAAGTCAAGGGGAAGTATCACCTGGTTTATTCATGGGAAATACCAATTAGCTCGACAGGGTCAAGCCTCTCATCAAAGAGACAATCTCAGCCTTAAATAAGCATGGCTGATGAAGGGCTGAAATTCATTCACATGAAATTGAACAATACCTTATTTCAATTTAAACACACATTTCCCCTTTACATTTTTTATTAACATTTTCTGTTTTAAACATACATCCAAACACCATAGAAATCCCACAAACTATGTACACAAATCCCCCTATATTTTCCAATGCCTCTCCCACAACCTAGGATTTGTCCAAACACCCTGGAGAAAACACAGAAAAGACAGGTAAGTTACTTCCTTGGTACTGCAAAACTTCTCCTGCACTCACTTTCAACAGATTTACGCTAACATTTGCTGAAGTTTCCAAAACATTAACTAGTTATGTTGAGATGAATTCTCATGAGGCATTGAACTGTTTAGGCAAATTGCTTGAACATGTCACCACCTACTGGTGGAGTGCATAACTACAGTTAGCAATATAATAAGATATGTTTGCAATTGTTTTTCTTGTTTTTTGTTTTTCCTGGAATGCACCACCAGAAGTTTTTTTTTTTAGCGTAAATGTCTAAGAAGAGAAAAATATTTTAAGGTTAACTGTTTTTCTGTAAATTTTGTGAAGTAAGCTCAAGCAGATTAAGTTAAAGTCATTGTGCAACTAGGGCAATGATGAGCACAATGAAAGCTTTGGTTTTAATCAGGTTGGACGTTATGGGTCAAACCTATATTTTGATTAAACCAACCAATCTAATTTGGCAGCGTTTTTACCCAATCTATATTGGTAAAAGGGCAAGCCAATACAAATTGGTCACATTGGTCAAAATACTCATTAAGCAGTATTGCAACTTTTAAAAGCCTAAACCAGTTCTTGAACCAACTACCATTAGATTGGAAAGCAAAGTCTTACAGCTGATGCCACTTGCAATAGTAACTGCTCCTCAGAAACCAACACTAGTAAATACTAATATTAAAACTTAATTCAGTGGCCTGCTCAGATTCTGATTATTATCAGGGCTCGATGTTAACCATCGCCCGATCTCCCGGGGCAAGTAGTTTTTAATGTTGGGAGAGTACAATTTTTTTTAATCACTCGAAATTACTTTAAAATCACGACATTCGATGAAAACGACCCAGAAGCATTGCCGGCACCATTTTTGTTGTTTTGTACAAATTACCGCATGATTTGAAAAAGGCGCGATATTTAAAAAAGCCAGGTGATTTTCTGCCAGATGGCGTGATTTTTGTCCACCTAGCGGTAATTTTGATGTAGTTACCAAAATGACAAACGGCTGCATTTATTTTGTCAGGGAAAACTAATCCTGAGTCAGTTAAAAGTCAGGGAATTCTGAAATTATCTAAGACTGTGGAAACCCTGTATAAAATAACTATGTATAATGATTCTCTAGAAAAGTCACATTATATTAATAGTATTATCTTGTATAAACATACCGTGACTCTAAAATAAAAGTTATTCATTAGTGACATTGACTTTTGTCTTGTGATTTATCTTACGTTTTTAACCTGTCAAGTTTTGTTTAGATTTTTAACATTACAATTTATATTTTTCCAAACACAAAAACAGTTTAAAGCAAAGTTTAGTTTAGTTTTTAAGTTTTAGTTAAACTTAAAAAATACTGAATTACAAAAAACATTTAAAAAAACAAACATGTTTCATTGATATATATACAAAAATGAATATTAGGAACCATATTTTTCAAACATTATACTGGGCAAGTAAAAATTGTTTCTGGGCAAATGAAATGTGAAAGTCACTTGCTCGAAGGGCAAGAGGTAAAAATCCTTAACGTCAACCCCTGATTATAATGTTTACTCCAACTAAATTTGTTTTAATAAACTAGATTGGTTGTTTTTACAACCAATCTATTCTTAGAATCTGTCCAAACGGTATCAAACTAACTCTATCAAAATAACCACAGCTCTACGACAAAGTCCCACATCTTGACTGAATATTGAGGCTGTTTCAATGCCTGTTGAAGTTCGTTGGCGAGCTGAACCATTCCCCGAAGTGGTCACGTGGTATGGCGGGGTAGCGAGGCTTTGGACATCAGCGATTTTGGCCCCTCCCCTAAATGAAGCAAGCCTCAATACCCGCTTCGCAGAAACACGCCCTCCACTACTCGACACACATTCCTGAAAGTCTTGGCTCATCTCATACTAACAGTAAAACTTGCTTGCTCTAAATTCTTTTTTTCACTGACAGCCACCACAGTTCTTATTGGGGAGCAGCTGTGTAGAGCCTGGAACAAAAAGTTACATACTAATTATTACAATGCTCAATAAATATCAAATAGTTTAAAATCCTTGTGTGCAAATGGTTCTTTATGTGCAAATCCATGCTTAAAGTGCATAATGATAAATAAAGTGTCATAGTGCTAACTAAACAGCTTTTTTAATAAAGCACAAAGGTACCTTTAAAGTGCTACGAGTTATTTACATAAAAATTGCCCTAATAATGAAGACCTCTTCATTACAGATGTCTTTGAACTGACTCAGTGATCTTGTGACCTAGATTCTGAGGGTAAAGGGTGATGCTTGGACTTATAGTTCAAACCAAAGGCATATAAATATTAATTTTCCCTTTTCGAGGGATTCAAAGTTTTTTTTTATTTTTGCTGCTCTCCAATATAATCCTCTGTGCAGAAGAGCAGCTGTGAATTAGTGCTGCAGGACTCATAGTCCACCTAACAACCTCAGACGTTAGATTCCCACTAATTCTTCACTATCTTACTTTTAAGCCTTGATGAGTTTGTTTCCCTTAAACCGTTTGTTTGTGATAGACAGAGAAAGACTGATTTCATAATTATGAAAGTCTTCTGCAAGCTTTGTGGGACAGCTGCAGAATAAGGTGCAGCAGGAAGAAAGATTTTCAGCCGACATGTAACTTGAAATAGCAGTTCAGCTGGTTTGTACTGGTCCACGCGCTCACTCAGAGATTTAACTTTCAGTTTTTCCACTCTCAACGTTGTGCACCAAGAAAGGTAAGCTCTGTGATTCTCTATATAGACTTTTTTAACTGAGAGTATTATTTGATGATTTATGCAGAATATATGTAAAATAAACTTAAATTGTTAATAAGTAATCTGTGAACATGACTAAAAGTGTTTGCTGGTGTTTAAAAATCACTTCTAAAAACGGAGACGATGATGAGGAAAATGGCAAGAGTGTCATGATTTATTTTGCGATCTGACCCAAAATGCAGAGAACCACTCAGACAGCAAGGCAAATGTTTAAACAGGTTTATTGAGGTAAGGGTTGAGGGGTTGGATCTGGTACTCAGAGGGCTGGTGAACTGGAACTGGAAGGGAGGAGAGAAGTACACAGAGGTGAGTTCTGGTACCGTGGGAATCTTGGATGCCGTAAGGATAATTCTAGTGAGGGACTCACGTTTGGGAGGGTTCTTCTCTCTCTTCGAATCCAGTTTGTGTGGGTTGACCTAGTGAAGAGGGGACTCGTTGGAGAGCTGACAGGTAGACGTTGGACCCAGAGGAGTATGAGAGGACTGTCACTCGGAAATCCAGGAGAACTTGTGGAGGTTAATCCCCTGCTCACTGTGAGACTCAAACAATCCTTTCAGGGGAAGAAGGACAAAAATCCAGCTTGCAGGATGACTGCCTGCCAAAAAGGCAAAGAAGAAAACAAGGTTAGGCTCAGTGAAACAAAGACTCAGTTAGAACTCAGCAAAACTCAGCTTGGCTAGAGTACCCAAAACTGGCAAACACTCAGGCCTCGAGGTAGTGACAGTACACTGCTTAAGTACTCCTCCCGATAATGATCCAAGGAGACGCAGGTGTGCAGGGAGGACCAACGAGGACAGGGTGCCACCTTGTGGTGGAGGGAGAGACAAACACAAACAACAGACCACACAAACTGGATTCTTGACAAAGAGAAAATTATAAAACATAAAGTGAATGTTTTTTTCTGTAATTTTATTGAATGTATGTAAATGAAATGCACATCAACAGAAAAGCAGCATGGATTATAGTAGAATATGGTGATCGTAGGGAACTTGTTTCTATTTAGCCTATTTTAGATCAAATTAAGGATTACTGAAAGTAAGATCCTCCAACACTTTAGCAGGATGCTTGAGGGTGTGTTTTATGGACCTGGAAGGGCACTCGACCATGTCAATTGTGGTGCCCTATAGAGAGGAATCCAGAGGTACAGAGTCCATCATGCTTCATTAGGGGCCATCCAATCTCAAGCAGAACAGAAGTTTAAGGCTGGTTTATACTTTGAAACTACCATAGGTGTCGCCGTGAACGCAGAGACATCTCTGCCCCCTCCGCAGACACTCTGGTTCACCTCTCCCAAATTGAAGGTGACTGCCAACAGTGCCGCAGACAGGAGGACTCTGATTGGTCAAATTTACATACGCTCTACACTACAGGTGCTGGTCATAAAATTAGAATATCATGAAAAAGTAGATTGATTTCAGTAATTCCATTTAAAAAGTGAAACTTGTATATTATATTCATACATTACATACAAACTCATATATTTCAGATGTTTATTTTGTTTAATTTTGATGATTACAAATGACAACAAATGAAAATCTCAAATTCATCATATCAGAAAATTAGAATATTGTGAAAAGGTTCAAAATTGATGGCCCCTGGTGCCACACTCTAATCAGCTAATTAACTCAAACCACCTGCAAAAGCCTTTAAATGGTCTTTCAGTCTAGTTCTATAGGCTACACAATCATGGGGAAGACTGCTGACTTGACAGTTGTCCAAAAGACGACCATCGACACCTTGCACAAGGAGGGCAAGACACAAAAGGTCATCGCTAAAGAGGCTGGCTGTTCACAGAGCTCAGTGTCCAAGCACATTAATAGAGAGGCGAAGGGAAGGAAAAGATGTGGTCGAAAAAAGTGTACAAGCAAGAGAGATAACCGCACCCTGGAGAGGATTGTGAAACAAAACCCCTTCAAAAATGTGGGGGAGATTCACAAAGAGTGGACTGCAGCTGGAGTGAGTGCTTCAAGAACCACCACACACAGACGTATGAAAGACATGGGTTTCTGCTGTCGCATTCCTTGTGTCAAGCCACTCTTGAACCACAGACAGCGTCAGAAGCGTCTAAAGAGAAACAGGACTGGACTGCTGGTGAGTGGTCCAAAGTCATGTTCTCTGATGAAAGTAAATTTTGCATTTCCTTTGGAAATCAAGGTCCCAGAGTCTGGAGGAAAAGAAGAGAGGCACTTCATCCACGTTGCTTGAAGTCCAGTGTAAAGTTTCCACAGTCAGTGATGGTTTGGGGTGCCATGTCATCTGCTGGTGTTGGTCCATTGTGTTTTCTGAGGTCCAGGGTCAACGCAGCCACATACCAGGAAGTTTTAGAGCACTTCATGCTTCCTGCAGCTGACCAACTTTTTGGAGATGCAGATTTCATTTTCCAACAGGACTTGGCACCTGCACACAGTGCCAAAGCTACCAGTACCTGGTTGAAGGACCATGGTATCCCTGTTCTTAATTGGCCAGCAAACTCTCCTGACCTTAACCCCATAGAAAATCTATGGGGTATTGTGAAGAAGAAGATGCAATACACCAGACCCAACAATTCAGAAGAGCTAAAAGCCACTATTAGAGCAACCTGGGCTATCATAACACCTGAGCAGTGCCACAGACTGATCGACTCCATGCCACGCCGCATTGCTGCAGTAATACAGGCCAAAGGAGGCCCAACTAAATACTGAGTGCTGTACATGCTCATACTTTTCATGTTCATACTTTTCAGTTGGCCAACATTTCTATAAATCCTTTGTTTTTATTGGTCTTCAGTAATATTCTAATTTTCTGATATGATGAATTTGAGATTTTCATTTGTTGTCATTTGTAATCATCAAAATTAAACAAAATAAACATCTGAAATATATGAGTTTGTATGTAATGTCTGAATATAATATACAAGTTTCACTTTTTAAATGGAATTACTGAAATCAATCTACTTTTTCATGATATTCTAATTTTATGACCAGCACCTGTATGTGTATCCTGTTTTGTACCTTACCAGCTTGTTTTGTTTGTATGACCGTAATTGTGAAAAACAACTCGTGAATTTGGACCAGCTAGAAGACCAAGGTGCGCGAGAATGCTTGGACCCTTTTTCCACCTGGATCCCTGCTTTTTTTTTGCCCTCATCTGCCTCCATTGTCGGACAAACTTGCCCCCATTTCCTCACCACCTTGGCCGTATCTAGACCCACAGCTAGTTCGTGATTTTCCCCTTTTGCATTGTGGCGTGGAATAAACATAGCGCAGACCATGCTTCAATGCCGAGCATAAATACAAAATGTCTGCATCATACCTGCAACAAGCTCACTGCGAAACACTGCTGCGGGAGTATAACCAGACCTTTAGTCCTCACTGCCTGCATTACTGTAAGTCAGAGCATGTGCGACTCCTGCAGGGCTGCATTTCGTCACTGGTCCTTTTCACAAGTAGAGTCTGGTTTGTGGAACAGAAGAATTCATCCCCTCTTTTGCAGAGGACGTGGTCCTGCTGGCTCCTTCTTGCCAAGACCTGCACAATGAACTGTGGCAGTTTGCAGCCAGTGCAAAGCAGCTGAGATTTGTATCAGCTCTTTCAAGCCATAGTTCCAGCTTGGCACATCCTAGTGGGAGGATCCTCAAGGGACAACCCGGACATGCTGGAGAGACTTAATCTCTTGGCTGGCCTTGAGTCACCAAAGGCTTCCCCCAGCAGAGCTGGAGGAGGTGTTTGGGGACAGAGAAGCCTGGGAGTCTTTTCTGAGACTGCTAACCTGGTGATGCGTTCTCCGATAAGTAGAGGATGATGAGTATGAGGGATATCATGTTCTTTCTGCAAACAGTCCTTTAGGAATCATATGAAGTTGAATCTTTGTGATGTTTTATACTATGCTTTTCCACAGGACTGGTAGGAAATCATGGCAGATAAACTAGACATTGCCCTTCATGAAGCCTCAGTTACCATTGTGAAACAATGCGCAGATGTTCTGTGTGAAGTCCTTCACAGTAAATTTGAATGTGTTGCCACCATCGAGGGTGTGGAGCTGGAGAATAGGAGCAGCACTTCATACCAGAGACGACCACCAATCATTTCTCCAGAGAAGAGATTTGAATTTAGGATGCCTTCAGGTGTAAAGGTGTCTGTCTGGAAAGCTGATCTTATCAACTTCCAAGCTGAGGCTGTTGTGAATGCAGCTAATGAAGATCTACGGCATTATGGAGGCCTTGCTCAAGCTCTATCCAGCGCTGGTGGCCCTCAAATCCAAAAAGAAAGTGATGAGTATGTTAAAAAGCATGGTAAAGTAAAAACAGGGGATGCAGTTGCTTTGCATGCAGGGTCTCTGCCATACAAGAAGATCATCCATGCTGTTGGTCCAAGACTGGGAATGAGTCCTTCCCCTCATGAGCTAGAAGCAGCAAAACATTTGTTGAAGAAAACCATCCGGAGAATTCTTCACAGAGTTGAAGAAAAAAAGCTTGTGAATGTTGCCATTCCTGCCATAAGCTCTGGAATATTCAACTACCCTCTGCCAGAATGTGCCCACACTATAGTGTCTACTGTAAAATACCATTATGACAACCTGCCCTCTCATCGACGGTTTCTTCAAGAGATCTTCTTTGTGAACCACGATGATCCCACAGTGCAAGCAATGGAGAAAGCATGCCATCAGATATTCAACCCTCACCAGCATCCGTCTTATAGCCAGACTGCAGCAAAAAATACCAGAAGTGCTGCCAGAACCCCACCATCTTCAGTCCAGATTGGAAATGTCATTCTGACACTGAAGAAGGGTTTCATTGAAGATCAAACGGTAAGAACTGACTCAACATATTTATTTTCTTTCACATTAAGCCATAACCTGACTCCGCCAGATGGATTTGCTCCGTATATCCAGCTGGAAACCTTCCGTTGAAGTAATTTTAGGAAGGGGCAAAAATACTGGTTAGCTGATTGGTCTATGTTGGTGATAGACGGGCCAAATAAACTAATCAATGAAGCATATTACGTACTAACAGAGCGACGACGAAGAGGAGCCAATTGATAGATCAAACTCTTGTTGAAACCAGTCGGGAGAAGAGCAAAAACATCTTTTCCTCTGAGAAAAGCCTCCAGAGCAGTGTTTTGCTCTTCTTTCAGTGAAGAAATACTCTGTAATTCCGATAAAACTTGCTCGATAGCCACGCTAACGCTAGTTTCATCGGCTGAAGCCGCCATGTTCTTTAGACTGAACTGTCGCGCTTCTCGTTGCGTCACACCTCAACCCGCCTCAAAGCCAACGCTGATTGGATGTTCGTTTGGTGAATGGCTCCAAATTTTCTTTAACGGAGAGTCTCCAGACTGATCTGCGAGTCAAACCTTGAAAGCTTGCGAGATCAGGATGGTCTCACGAGGCTAATTAAGCCAGGCATACACTGTATGATTTATTTCCATTTTCCGGCTGATTTTTCAGTCGTGCGAGAATTTTTCAACCAGACCGACTTTCAGCCTCATCGTGCGTCATGTAGTGTATAGGGGGTAACGAGGGGCGATCAGCCTCTCACAGCCACCTCCCGTTTAGGAATCGTAAGGTCAGGAGAAATTCAATCAGCCGTCGTAAGGTCGCAGAGTGAGAACATGCATCGTGAGCTGTGAACTTTTAAACTCTGTGGTTTTGTCTTACAGTTTTAGCTGTAGCTGCGTGCAATGATTGAAAATATTGCACAGTGTATGCCCGGCTTTAAAGGGGGGATAAATATCTGTTTCATGTACTGGTAGATCGAAAACCTCATTATAATTAAAATTGTAGGAAGAAGTGCATTAAAGTTTATCTTCAGCAAAATTAAATTAAATCCTTTTTTGTTGTTGTTTCTTTAGACAGATGTGATTGTAAACACTGCAGCAGAGGATAGAAATCTGAGCACTGGTCAAATTTCCAGTGCTATATTGAAAAAAGCTGGCTCTAAGATACAAAAGGAAATGTTTACAGCGAAAAGGACAGGTAATGTCATCTGCACAAAAGGTTATCAGCTGAACTGCAAAGAGGTATTTCACACGATTTGCACTGTAAAGGGCAGCTGTAAAGAAACGTTTGAAACAGCAGAACAGGTAATAGTCTGTCATTCTTTCGTATTTTACTCTAAATGAGGCTGATTTGCCGCTTGACTTCTAGTCTGTCTAATCCCGTACAACAGATACTTTTTGACGCAACATGGGAGTGTTTATTGAATGCACAAAAAAGTTGTCACAACTCAATCTCCTTTCCTGCCATTGGCACTGGAAACCTTGGATTTCGTAAACAGGAATCAGCCTCCATCATGTCAAAAGCTGTGGCTCAATTTGCAGAACAGAATCAAAGAAAGTTGGACGTTTTCTTTGTCATTCATCCATCTGACAATGACACATATGAGGTATTTTTGTAAAGCACTTTAAATGACAGAAACAATGAGTTTTTTATCCTGTTGTGTGAAACGTGTCTGAACATTTCTGAAGTGTTTGATTAAAAAATATATATATCAGTTGAAATATGGTCTTTTGCTTAAAAAGGTTAGCTGCACTAACCATACAACATCAGTTGGATATCTACTGTATGACTGCAAGTATTTAAAAAGCAAATTATTGGAACTTTTTTTACAGGCATTTGAAGCAAAGATAAATGTTCTCCATGAAAAAATTTCAAGCTTCATGTTGGCAACAGGTAATTAATATTTCCTCGTAAAACATCTGTGTATTCATATCTTTCAATGTTAGGAACTTGATGGTTTTTCTACATGTGTCAGTAGGGACTTCATATCAGCTGTAACAGCTGTGTTTTATACTTACTTTACCCAAAGTACCATCTTTGAAATAACATTCTCTCAGACTAATTTTGGATTTAAAGGTTTATACATTGTTGTACTGTTACTCCTTGGCGTTTTAGCCAGCGTACGTCCCAGAACCTCTTAAAACGCTGGCATACGCAGAACTTTCTATGTATGTCCAAACTAATGTCCAATGACAGCCTAAGCTATGCATAATGCAGCCAGTGTCCTGGGGGGTGCTCAAAGACTTCGCAGTCACTGTATTAACCTAGCTGCAGTCGGTTGCTGCCTTTGATGGCCATTGTAAAAAAAAAAAATGCAAAAAGTAACCAAAGTGAAGGGGTTTCAGGATTTTTGTTGTTTGTTTTAAATGTTTTTTATGGTAAGGTATTTAAGTCATTCCATAAAAGTTCAAAAAAATCCACTGGACTTGGTTTCCACTTGGTTTCCATTGTTCGTTAAGGAGGTATTGTTCACCGGCTATAGCACCTACCCGCTCCAGCCAGTGAACAATACCTCCTTAACGACTGACCCTTAACAATCATAGACAGGTTTCAAGTATTACAGGCTAACAATGGAACCAAACGACCCACTCCTCGGTTTCAATTTGCATGTTTCCAAGCAACACAAGGCCTTGTCTATATTAGTTGTGCGCCGATGCCATTTTTTTGCCCCGATACCGATACCTGGCTGTGCAGTATCGGCCGATACCAATACCATAATAATGTAAATTAATTGCCATCATGGCTTTGTCAAGCTGCTGCCTACCTCTGTGAAAGCTTCCTGGAGAGGTGGCGAAACGTCTTCAAACCTTGGAAATCAAGTCCAGTGGATTGTTTTGAAATTTTACGGAATGACTATGACCTGGATGACTGAGAATCTTTATCAGCATATTGGTTTAAGGAAATGTAGGTGTTTTTTTATTTCCTACATCTATTTACTGCTGTGTAGATTTCTTTGTTCAATCGTTGAGAAGGTTGGTCTGGCGTCCGGGTAAATGGGGAACTTTCTTGTTAATTACAGACTGGTTTCAGCAAGAAACCACTGTTGTCTATGATGGACTAAAATGTAAAGTCATGAGAACATTTAGGAAATTAAAAGATTTGCAGAAGAAGTTGTAGTTTTAGGAAAAATTCCTACTTCTAGTAACTGAACACTATCCTTGAAGTGATAATTTTGTGTTTAAAACTTGTTTACCAGCATCAGGGCCTAAAGGTGACTCCCAAACCAGCAGACCTCCAACACCAAAAATCTCCCTTCATGGTTCTTCTGATGAATCGAAAATCGAAGCTAAAAAGTGGCTAAGTGACCTATTTCAATGTCGTGGCGTCATCAGGATTCAAAACAACTTCATCTCACACTTCAGCGAACAAGACCATCTGCAGCTGTCCAAATTAGCTGTCCCTGAAAAAGGATTGTCCATTGAGGAGTCTTTCTCTCAGGGTCATGCATGTATAACAGTAATGGGGAAATCAGGGAGAGATGTTGCCATTGCCGCATTGCAAGTGGAAGCAATGCTCTGCAGAACCCAAAAAGAGTTTATATCAGAGGAAGAGCATCAGCTGAAGATGTTGTCAGGCATCAACATTTCTATGGAGAGGAGGACAGTTAATCCAACAAGCCAACAGTTTTACAACAGATTACAGCATTTCAAACCACTAGGTGTATCGGTAGTTAAGGTACAGCATATACAATATCTAACGATTTTTATTTTTATTTGATTAGTCACATTTTTAAATGCAAGCATCAATATTCATAGAAGTATTTCATTTTCAGGTTGAAAAAGTGGAGAATTGTGCTCTAAAGGAGATGTTCGACCTGAAGAAGAAGCAGATTGACTGCTACAGACCTAAAACTATGTTTCAACGCATCTCTGCCCAGTTCTGTGGGATGATCAGCCGAATTGGATTCCAGGCTGAGTGTGCACCACCAGAAGGTACTTTTGTGCATTTATGTTATTTAAGATTTAATTTAAAATCTTTCAGACTGTCATGTGTTTTCCTGGGAACAGGCCACCATCTGACTGGGTGGAAAAAAGATTGAGGTTCAAGGTCAAATTATGGTTAAACAATTAAATCTGCAAAGAGAAAGCAAAGCTTATCTTGAAGAGTTTGGAACGAGGTTATATTAGCTCTTACTAATTTAGTACAATGGGAAAATGCATTGACAATTAACCAAAGGGAATCCATGAAATTTTGTTTGGTAAAATAACATTTCAAAAACTTGTTTTTTGCTATTTAGAAACCAGTTTCTTGGGTATTTTACACAAAGAACAAAACATCTTTAAGAATTTACAGAATTTATTCCAATCATCTTTAACTAAAAGAGTGATAAAATAAGAGAGATGGTCTTTTAACTTCTTTTTTAGTCCTGTTTTCTTCTTGCCTATTAGCGCTGGGACAGCAGAATGGCACAGCCCTACTAAATGTTTTCCAATTTATCTAAAAATACAACAACTAGCAAAGAGGTCGTTCTGCCAAAGTCACAAGCTGTAGTATCCAGCCTTTCTCCCCACAGTACAACATTACCATATAAGGTAAAGCTAGACCCTCTCTGGTCATCATATAACATAATGAACTGACATGCATGAGTTTGGAATCAGTTAATTGTAGTATATCATTGTAAATATTAATTGCTGTAGTTTTTACACATTTTTATTGATATACTAACTTAAAAAAATGGTAAAGTTGGACATTTAATATGATGGAATTATCTCCAACACAATCAGGATCTAGTCTGTCAGTAGCCTACAAAATGAAGAAAAATGAAAGAAATATCAGCATGAAGCACACCTGCTGACAGGTGTGTGTGCAGCTGACTGATGTCAGTTCACAGTGACAGTTTTTTCGTCGTTACCGGAGCCACAATCTAATCCTCCTTCAGTCTCGTCCTGACTCTCCTGGACATTTTATGTGTTCTGTGATTTTCCTCTTTTCATTTCTAACTGGCTAAAAAAAAGCTAACGAAATTGGATAAGTTACCTTCCAGCAGGAAGGAGGATGTCTAATGCATTTTATTTTTGTTTTCCATTTTATTTTGTGAATTTTATTGTTTTATACACAGTATAAATCTTACAAGTGACAGATACAAACTTTCACGTTAGTCCAAGTTCTCCTTTAAGACACATATGGTGACCAACATTCTTGGTAAACTGCAAACCGAGACATAACAAAATATTTAAAATAATGAATCATTAAAAATGAAAATACAATAATAATTGAACATTTAGCATCTAACCAGGGTGTTTTATGCATTGAAATAATATATTTTTTGCTTATTTCACCAATTATCCTTCTTAATACCTCCACAGAATAACCTTTACCTTCCAGCAGTTCACATGCTTCAAACCGAGCCTGGATTGTGCTGTTTTAAATATTGTCTTCAAATCTTCCAGATTATTACATTCGTCAATCTCCAGTCTTATTAATGCAGTTATTTTCTGTAAGAGTTCTTCTGGATATTGCTTTTTTAGCAGCCAGTAGCAGTATTCTCAGCATTTTGTCATCATTCCCTCTTTTTACATTTAGTTTGTCCCATTCCCAAGATACATACAATTCAAAACAAATGGGAATTTTTTAATGTTATCACCTCTTCAACTACTCTTTTTTTACAATACAAAGTTGCTTTATTAATGGGCAACCAGAGGATATATGAAAGTTATCAGCTTTTCTGGCACCATAGGATCGCCAGCATTGTGTATCACCAGATTTTCTCTGTGCTGGAGTTGCAAAATACCTTATTGTGTTTTCCAGCCACACTCTGCCCAAATGAGTTTGTTTGAGGTTTATTCTTTTATACATCATGTGCATTGTTACTTTGTTAGCCAGATAGAGAGAGTAGATGGCCTTCCTTCACATTGTGGATGTCACTTTGTGAAAGTGGGTCATCTAAATCAGGACAGCCTTCTTGTCTTTTAAAGATACACAGGATATGGGCACATCTTGGAGCCGGACTGATAGAGGAGAGCTATCTGTAACCCTGAGGCATAGAGGCAAGCTGCATATAGGTCAAGGCATCGATGGCGTGTTAGTTTCTGAAACGGACAGCTAAGCATCCACCTGATGCAACACATAGACACATGAGGTATAAGAAGCAGGTGATGACCTTTTTCGGGGCTCAATCTTTGCCGGACGCTCGCGGACGTGATTTTCGAGCCCACAGCTGTGCAAGCTCCAAGCATTTTTCTCTGTCCTGTAACGACCTGAACTGGAATAAAGTCTGTTACTTTTTTACTCCTGTTTTTATAGTCCTTTTTACATGGTTTTACCCAGTTTGAGTTAAGAGCAGTAAATAACTTGCTCCTAGGAAAAGAACTGGAAGGGAAGTCCAGAGTCGCAACTGCCTTCAAGGGGGCATAACTTCCTATTTAACAGTTAATATTTTGTTTTCCATTGATATTCAAGAATTCTTGCCCAGTCCTTCTCTAGCACATTCAGTGTTATTTGCTTCAATGTCCTCCAGAATTTTATACAATTTGGATCCTTGAATTAAGAGCTTCTGTTATAACTTTCATGATGCTTGGCCATGTTGATTCTGGATTCCCTTCTCTAATTTTTTGTCCCAAATAATGCTGTAATTGCAGGCATCTATTAAAATCGTGAATCATAAGGTAGAATGTCTCCTTTAGCTCTTGAAAACGCTTAGTTTGAAAAATGTTTATTTAGAATCTTCCAGTGCATCTTGGGTCCATTTTCCAATTATTTAAATATCTAAAGTGATCTGTGAGATTATATTTACTTATAATTTTATTCCAAATTTTAATAGATAAACCCAGCCATGGATTGATAGTTTGAATTAGGCTCTTAGTTTTCCATCCCCTATAACAGCTTTTATTGGAGGATCTTCTATCATCTTTTCCTCAATACCTTTCCATTTTGCAGAATAATGTGAGTGAGAATAGGTATAGTGGCCATGGCAAAAAAATCATTTTTATCACTTCAACTTTTGATGCCAAACTCAAATATGGTATAATCTGAAGGAAGATGATTATCCATGTTCGTCACTTACATGGTTTAACAGTTCTGTCCATCTCCTTAGAGCGAGGTAGAATCCAGCCGATGGTCTGCCAAACAAGATGTGGCATACGCCGCACAGAGTGAACCAGGTGCGGCAGCCCCAGTAAACAGGCCGGAGTCCGAGCCAGGTCAGGGGTTCTGATCAGAACAGGAACAGGCCGATCCAGGGTTTCAAGAGTCCGACAGAGAGTTCAGGCAGAATGTTCAGATAGGAACAGGCAAGCTCAGAAGTTAAGAGGCAGAACAAGGGACAGGGGCAGGTGGATGAGATGAGTGGTAATTGGCAACCATGCGGTTAGGCAGGTGAGTGAAATGAGCAATTAGGCCAGCTTTCAGAGTCATGATTATGACATCTTTGTTAGGTGTAGATACATTTCTTTGGATTTCTTGTGTTAACAGGTCATTTATCTATGACTTCTTTTTTATTTCTGTGAAAATGTCTTGTATTTTGATTTTTTATGTTATTTTTCTAGTGTTTTTAAATTCATTTGTAAACTTTGAAGCCTTTCCTATTTCATTTTCTGGGTTTCAAAAAGCAGTAAAACACAACAGACATAATAAGATCATCAATCCTGAAATAATAATGCTGAAAGCACGACTGTCAATAGCTATCTTTACAGCCCAAATTTTCAGGGATTCTATCTAAATATTGGTTGGTCGGAAATTCAACATCTCTGGACACTAAATAAAATTATCCAATCATGGTTCTACATGTACCAAGTGTTTGATCAGATAGAATAAATTATCACTCATAGAACTATCTAATTTTCTAGAAATGCTTTAGTAGAAAAACAAGAAACTGCCCGTTTTTAAAACAAACCTGTAGTTACCTTGTTTCTTCGGTTTTTCAGCCATGTCTATTAATGCAGCCTGAGGTGACCCAAATCTGACTTTTTGGCCCATATGTGACCTGGATCTGATTTTTTTCATGGCAGTCTGAACAACACAGATCCGATTTTTTTTTAGACCCAGGCCAATTGGGTATGTGGTCCTGAATCCGATATGAATCTGATTTTTTCAAATGCAACCTGTGTGTGAACAGCCAGGTCGCATTCATCCGACCTGAACGTCATTAATACCTGACATAGGTCACAATTATGGCAGATGATGATGCGGAGAGAAGTATTTATGTTTAACCATATTGAAAAGATTGTTTTTATGGTTGGAAAAAGATCACTAGATGCGCGCCGGCGCTACCATCCATGTTTACTTCCGTAAACACAGAGCACGCTGTCCTGTGACGTCATTGCATCCTCTACTGCGCATGCGGGACACTTGCGTTGTATGACGGCAGTTCACACAGGAGATCACATACAAGTCGCACATATTTGGAAATATGAACGGCAACGTAAAAAAATTGGATCTCGCAAGAAAAATCGGAATTGAGCATCAAGGCCTGCAGTGTGAACGTAGCCAGAGTTATCACACAAGGCTCCCCCTCATGTTTGACCTTATCACACCTACATGGATGTGTTATGGGATATTGCTTGCTTGTCTTTGGGAGGACACCACACATGGTAGGATATTGTGCAGAGACAATACATAATGTTGGATTTCCCTGGTTTGTAAAAGAAGGTGTTCCTACATTCTTCAAACTGACCACATCACTCTAAACACACCACACCGCACAGAGCAGGATGTTGAGATCTTCATACAAAATGCTCCATGTCTGTTTGAGGAGTTTCTACTCTGTATTCATTTGTGTATATGTTAAAAACTACTCTGGTTTCCATTGTTAGACTGTTGGTTATTTAATTGATGCTATACAAAAGTTAAAGAAGCAAACATATTAAAGCTATTCAAATACCTTGCCAATGCATCTCATTACAGATCCAGAGTATGGAGATGGCATCTATTTTACACGCAGTGTAAATGTGGCCATGAAGCTGTGGAAGCAGACAGGGGAAGAGTACCTGTACTTTGTGGAGGCTGAGGTGCTGAAAGGGAGGTCAGTTCGTGGTAAACCAGGAATCTTTATGCCTCCTCCAGTTGGAAAAGATCCTAACGTCACCTATGATGGTGTAGATGGAGGGCCTGATGTCTCTGTTATCTTCAGCGGTTACCAAGCTTTACCCAAATACATCATCACCTGTAAGAGGCTTAGTTAATAGTGAAATCTTTTGTCTGACTAGAACAGATAAAAAGTGACCTTTTTTTTGTATTATATGGGTTTGTCAGTTTTATTGCTTTATAACTATGTACCCTCTGTAGAAATTAGCCTTTGGCTATAATCTATCATGTTTACATTAATTTTGTATGTATATTCAGAAACATCCATTGTGCCAAGCAAACAAATAAATAAATAAACCTTTTTCCCGGGGCTACATGGTGGAGCAGTTTGTAGCAGTCTTGTGGCTAAGATAAGCGGGAAAATGGATCAATACATGAGCACAGCTCAGAAGGGAACCTGTAAAAATATCAATGTTGCCAAACACCCCCCAGGATCTATAGCACAGACATCAGGATGTAATTCATACTTGAGAAGTGCGGTCGGATGGTGGCTAAGAGAGGGAAGGTAATCCAAACAGAGGAGGTCTCACTCCCAGAAGGAACAATAGCAGACATTGAGGACAGTGAGAAGTACATCAGAATCCCACAGGCAAATGGCAACCTCAAAGAGATGACAAGGAAAGCGGCTACGGCCAAATACCTCCAACGAGTAAGACAGGTCCTAAGAAGCCAACTCAATGGCAAGAATAAATCTCGGGCAATAAAAAGCTACGCTCTACCAGTAATCAGACAGCCTGCAGGAATGATAAGCTAGCCAAAGGATGAGATACAGGCTACAGATGTTAAGACACAAAAGCTCCTAACCATGGAGGGTACCACCCAAAATCCAGCACCCTGAGACTGAACGCTTGCCATAAGTAAGGAGGCCGAGGACTAGTGAGTGTGAGAGCCACTATCCAGAATGAAACATCCAAGATCCATAAGTACATCAAGGACAAGGCTCCAACAAATGAATGCTCAGTGAATGTCTAAGAAAATGGGGAACAGAAGATGAGGTGCTGGAGGTTTCGTCATGGGAGGATAAGCCCCTACACAGGATGTAACATAACTGAAACATAACCGAAATGGCAGATATCAGGAAATCCTACCAATGGCTAGACAAAGCCGGAATGAAGGACAGCACAGAGGCACTCATCATGGCTGCACAGGAGCAGGCCCTGAGCACCAGAGCAATAGAGGCCTAGATCTACCACACCAGACAAGACCCCAGGTGCAGACTGTGCAAAGAGGCCCCTGAGACAATCCAGCTCATAACTGCAGGTTGAAACCTTACATTGGAGCACCATAAGCAAGTGGTTGGAATAGTGTACAGAAACATCTGTTCAGAGTATGGGTTGGAGGCCCCAAGGTCAAAGTGAAAATTTCGCAGCTACATGTCGCCTACAAAAGTTTAAGCTATCCACTCAAAGCTCACAAAAGGTGAAACAAGTGGACTTTGTCAAGTAATAAAGTCCAAAACGCTCTTAGATAAAAGAAGCCACAAAAGAAGCCAGAATCAAGACCATAAAAACCACCAAAACTATACTATCACATGATAAAATATAAACTCTGATAGCATAGGCATCCCGATATCAAATAATGTTTGTGTTAGGCTACCCTTCTGCAACTGCAACACCCATTCCTTGCAAAGATTTGACAAAAGCACATTTCATTCTTGTCTTGTGATGTGTTTTGTTCATATACAGCTTATGAAGTGATGAGTGCAGCCACTTACTTTCAATAGTTTGCACTGCACAAGAAAAATTCAGTTCAACACGAACACAGCAGGAAAAGTAGTTTATAGCGTGTATTGACCTAAGATGTATAAGATTAGAGTACACACCAATCTTCCTACATTCTCACATTGACAATTGAGCACTGATGGTGGGAGCAAAAAAACACATCATAATAAAACAGGTAATTCTCCTCTATTTTAATTACTTAGTAGCCCACTGACTATTGTCTCACAATGCTAGACCGTACCGGCTTACTTTCACACCTGTGCATGATGTAGTCAGCTAGTGTAGCCACTAAAAGCTAATGTTAAAACGTGTTAGTAAATGTTACCTTAGAGCTTCTAAAGATGGTCATCTTTACGCCTGCTCAAGTGCCAAAATCACTTATGGGAGCCATAAATTGTAGTGTTTGTTCACTAGTTGGGCTTTTAGCTTAAGTATATGACTCAGGGGCAACAGGTAGTGAGCAAGTGTTGTATCTGGGAGGGAAAACAAGTTTTTGACCGCCATGGCGGAGACTTTGTTAATCTCCGTTGCTGGAATAAAGTTATTGGGGTTTATGAAAACCTTGTTGTTGGAAGTGAATAAGTAATTAAAATAGCATCTAAGACCCTTGGGACTAAAATTGACATGACACCACATTTCAAGGATTATCCGCTTATCAGAACTAAGCATCAACAGATCAACGCTTCTTAAGTGCAGTACTATAGCTCTAGTATGGAATCATATATATTTTATTATAATCATAATAATTCTTTTGGATATGCTATCACACACACACATCCACACACACACAATTTAATTCAGTTTATTTATATAGCCCCAATTCACAACATGTCATCTCAACACAATTTACAGTTCAAATATCATGCAGTCAATTTTGATGTCTGTATGAAACACTAATTTTTTTTTTTTTTTTTTTACATAATTCCTGTTGGTTAATATTTTGGGGTTTCGAAAAGGCTTATTTTACCAAAAAGTTAATGATTTTCCTAGGCCAGTAAGGATGAACAACTACCTGAATGCTAGAATAATAAGATCAAACAGTTTTTATAAAATGTTTTATTACTTTCTTGTGCATATAAGTGCAATAAAAGCTTACAGTGGAAATATGTACTTGTTCAATTCTCGTTTTGTTGTTTTTATAGGAACACCCATTAAGTTTTAGGTTTTTAATATAGAAATGATTTTTATTGCAAAAAAGTTAAATGCTGAACCTCTATGATGAAATGATTCTCTATAACAGAGCAGATCCCTATAAGAACCCATGTTTGTATCAAGAAGAGGACTCAGAGTTATATTTTACTAGTTTCAGCTTGCAGAAGCATTTTTTTTTTTGGTATTTGAGACACATAAAGGCATCACTTTAAAGCACTAAATAGGTTTGAACAAAATACAAAATATAAAAATATTTACTAACCAAGTGAACTCAAGACAAGTGAATACAAAATTTTGAGAGAAAAAAATCATATTTGGCTTTGCAATCAGAACTGTTCTATTTCGATTAAACATTTTCCTGGTATGTTACTTGAAAGTAATCAGGTACTCTGGATAGGCCTGGGTGTCATGAAACACTATAAACATGTTGGGGGTGGTCATGTTGTCCACAACACTGTCATACAATAAAACACCAGAGCCTCCCTTGGATGGTGGAGCGATCATGTTCTGCTGACCCAGGGTGAAGTCTCCTGTCAGCACTTTGCAGAGGTACATGAACTTCTCTCCATTCTGATTGGGCTTGGAGTAGGTGTCACTGCTAGAGTAACTGGCATTAACAGCAAAGTAGGAACCTCTGCCATAACAGGTAGCTGAAAATTAAATAACAGATCAATTAGTTACAGATTGAGTCAACAATATAGGTCAATTTTTAAAGAAAACTATAAATTCCAATGCAATGATAAATCATACTTCATATAAAAGCACAACGCAAGTTGTGCTTATATAAAGTCTTCAGTCAGCTGACATTTTGTAACATTTTTCATTAAAGGTGCCACCCTTTTTGTGACCCTTTCTTCTATGCCATTAAAATTAGAGCAAAATTAAAACTAATTGTCTAAAGAAAAAAGTTATTTAAGAACATTCCAAAATAAATGATATGTGTCCTCATGCAAAAGAGAGTGTGCAGCTTTTATACTACATGTTGCCAGTAGAAAAAGATTTAGAAAGGTTCATTTTAACAAACAGGTTTGGGTTAAACATTGCCCCACGTTTTGTACACAGACCGGCTTTATATAAGAGGCCCCTGGACATTAAAGGCAAAAATAAGAATATAGAAACCCCCCAAATATCTTAATGACAGGAACAGATTGTAAATGAATTTCTTTCAACCAAGAACTTTTTCTCTGATAGGAAATGAGGCCAGTAGCTCTTAAGAACAGGGTGATATAGTAGGTTAAAAAAAGCTGTCAACATTTATGAAAAAATGTTTGGATGTAGCAAGACTATCACATTTGAGATATTGCATTGAAGATAGTTTCTAATTGTAGGTATCTTATAGTTGCTAGCAGAGATGGGAAGTAACGAAGTACAAATACTTCGTTACTGTACTCAAGTAGATTTTTCTGATATTTTTACTTTACTTTACTACTTATTTTTATGGCGACTTTTTACTTCTACTCCTTACATTTTTACACAAATATCTGTACTTTCTACTCCTTACATTTTAAAAAATTGGCTCGTTACTTTAGTTTTGAATCATTTCAATGGAGCTACCGTTATTATTTTTCACGTCCTCAATACCAAATTCAATCTAATTGGATGGAATCTACATTGAATTTGACGCACCACTACAAGATGAATCAACAGATTCGGCGGTATTCATTCGCAGCAAATCATTGCAGCTTGGTGGCGGTGGCGTTAGCATAGTAGCATGGACGACAAGATGATTGAAAATGAACACAATGGAGATCTAGTTCTATTGGCAGACATCCAATTAAAATGTAGGCAACGGCATGAAAAAAGTGGTTTCTACTTTTACTTTTATACTTTAAGTAAATTTACAAGCCTGTACTTTGTTACTTTTACTTGAGTAAAGAAGTTTAATCAGTACTTCCACTTTTACCAGAGTATTTATTAACACAAGTATCTGTACTTTTACTCAAGTACGGAAAGTGAGTACTTTTGCCATCTCTGGTTGCTAGTTGATTAATAATCAGATGATTATGTGTACTAATAAGTAGTATAGGGAAAGTACAAAGTAAGTAAGCTATAAAATATAGTTTTTACCAAAGTAATCTGATCTCATCTGCTTTAAAAGGAAAAAAATATAAACTTAAACAATCTCGTGTGTGGTATTCAATAGTTATAAGTAATAGTACGTAATCAATATACTTTAATATTGCATTGTATCCAAAGTTTCTGAATACTAAAGCTAAGAAATTATTACTTAACCTGGGAAGATCCATAATGTGTAGCACTCAGGTTTAGTTCTATATATTATAAATCTGGGACTGCCCCATCATTGCTGTTAGGGTTAAGAAGGGACGTTCGCAGAACAATACTAGCTAGTTACTGTACTAGCTACCTGGATGAAGAAAGTGGCGCCTGCCAATGAAGGTTGGTTTTAGCCAGTCACAGGAAAAATGTAATTTCAAATTACTTGAATACTGATTCAAAATGTATCTATTTAAGCAGTTATTTTATTAGTATCTGCAGCCCTTATATACAGCTCTGAGCACTAGTGTTTCAGTCACCTATTAGAATTATATCTGACCTCAGAAGTCTTGTAGAAAAGTTACTGATTTGGTGGATGAATGACCTTCAGTCACCTTTTGAAAACTCATAGAAATCTTTAGATTCTCACCGTTTTTTCCCGCGTAGCTTCTGTTGAAGCCTTGAGCATTAATGATTGGGACAGTGGTCTCACATGTGCCATGGAAGAGACGTTTTTCGTTGTTCTGATGATTATTTTTCACCTCCATCTCAAGCTTTTTTATCTGAAGACTTTTCCACATTGCAGGGTTCTGGATCCTTTCAATCTAGTAACAGATACCTGCATTTTAGCACATTGTCCGAGGTCTTTGAAATTGTGCCTTTCTTTGTGTATAATGTCTTTAAAAATTATTAATTTTATATTAACTAAAGAAAAACATCTCTAAATTCCGTGTGATAACAGGGCAAGTTTATTGGTTGTGTTACCTTAGTGACGGGTCGTTTACACGTGGCTTGAAAGAGATTAAGGACTTCGGCGTACTCTTGAGACGTTGCCTGGATGGGGACGGAGTGACACGTTTGGCCAGCCGGCATGGGATCCCAAAACTCAGGAACATCATCATCAGCTACAAAAGAGAACAACAATGTTGTTTCTTTTAACAATTTTTTTTTTTTAATAAACTGAATAAACATGAAAAACTACTAAGCATCATGATCAAGATTTAAGGCAGATTGTGAAATACAATCCTATTTCTGGCAGACGTACCTTTTAGTTTGTCGATTCTTCTGATCTGCAGGACGACTCCCTGGCTGTCAGTAGCTGGTCCTTTAGGCATCTGAACAGTATAGTTTGAGCCCTGGATGGTAACTTTTAAACTGGTTATTCCCTTCTCCAAGGCATGCTCAAGCTCATAGTTGGTAACCTGATCAAAACTCTGATACTGAAGCCCCTGACGCTGATACTGCCATTCTGCCACTGTAGCGGCCAACTCATATTTCTTCTTCAGCTCCTGCTCACCTCTCACCTTCCTCAGCAACATATCTATGTCTTTGTTGGCTCGGAGCACATCCCTACTGAGACCCTCAATGACTATTGAGGGTTGGCCATTATTAATATGATGTTTGATGCTCACACCCATGTTCTTTTGAATGTCAATGATGTGCTGACAGTCTGCAAAAGATAAGTTTAAAATTGCATTGTCGGTTATCTCCATGATGTCCTGTTGGTCAGATATAAGATCATTTATCTTCTTCTTGGCTGCATCTACGCTGGCCTGTGAGTCACCACAGATGTGAAAAAAAGTAGGCTCCACTTCGATGGTCTCAAAATCAAACATCTCGTCTTGCTGGTTTTGTTCAGGACCTCCAGATGTAAAAAATGCTGTAAAAATGAAAATAATCTAAGTAAAAATGTGAATGAAAAAGCGGATTATTGTTATGATGGCACAATAGCAAACAGTATTCCTTACATATTATCTTTTGGCCAACGTTTGTCCAGAATCCTTGGTCCTTTGAGCCAGAGTTTTCCCTTTCTTGCATGCTGCTACAGAAATCTTTAAGCATATTTTGCTGGAAAATTATAATCCGGATTAAAGTCAGGGAGCTAGAGGTGTTTTGGCTCATCACATCGATGACTGCGTCCAACATGGAGTCTGCGACTGTTTTCGCTCCTACCTTGCCTTGGCCTAAAAAGAGACAACACAAATGGGTTTAAATCTGCAAACTCCCCCCCCCCCCAAAAAAAAATCAAGATTCTACCAACAAAGTCTACATTTAACACTTGTCATTGGGTTCAAGAAAGAAAATATTTTATTTTATGTTTTTATTCTGTCCAAATCTACACTGTCATTTCTTTTGATCTAAGCGAATTATTATTAATGAATCCAGTGTAATGGTGGTCACTTTATCGGGTGTTTCAAAACCTTTCAATATAGATATTAAGTTGAATTCAAACACTAAAATAGCAATAAGCTGGACATCTTAGCATGCAGGTAACATACCTCTGAACTAAGGTATTTTCAAGAATGTGTTGGTGAGCCTCACCTGTGCCAATGGCAGGAAACGACACTGAGGTGTAGGAGTTCTTCACACAGAGTTGGAGTGCTTCCTTCACTGCCTGGTGGATTTCTGATGGATTTGTCTTCCCGACCATGTGGAGAATCTTGCTGCATTTAAGGTTTCCTGGTACAGTCATTATTATGCCTGAATGGGGCTGGGAACCTGATGGAGTGTTACAGTCCCAATCACATAATTAAATAAACCATAAACTAAACATGCAGGTTATGAACCAGCAAGATTTTCTGTAGTTACCAAGGTACTGGCATTCCTCTACAACAGCAACACCAGCTGCATCCAGAATTGCTTTGGATACTCCTGAGAGGGTGAATGAAGTGAAAATTTACTTTTTTTTTTTTAAATATGTTAACCAAAGTTCATGTTCATTATATGATTTTAAATTACTAAGTTTAACTAGGCTCAATATTATACGTGATGTTATACATATGTTACAAAATTCAAAACACGCTAAACAATGTTCAATGTTGTTAAGAGCCTTCAAGCGTGTGTTAATTGGAATCAGAATGTTTAAATTTTGTATAAATTACAAACTAATGTACCTGTCTTTAGAGTGAAGTTATCATTTGAAGAGTTGACAATGACATCGGTGGTCTCCTTGGTTATATCTCCGGTCGCTACCTGAACCGTCACATTTCCCAGTTTAGTCTCATGCATTCCTGAACTGGAGACCACTTTAGAGAATTTTCCTGGAGGCAGACATAGACCAGAGAGAAATTACAATTTAACCATGAAATGAAAGAGTAAAAAACAAAAAACAAGCAAATATTACAGGCGCTTCTTTCTATACATTGGTTAAATTACAGTTTACCAGAAACATTGCCCACCTGTACTTTGTGAGGTGTTTGCCTGGGCTGAGGATGCAGAAGCTGTGGCAGTAGGGAACTTCTTCTTAAAGACATCGGTGAATACCTGTAGAATACATTAATATATACCTTATTATAATAAACCACTTACATCCATGCATTTTGTACCACAATCAGCAACTAAATTACTAGATATTATGTGAAAACTGACTAAATTCTACTTCAGAGAAGTGCTCAACAATCCATTGTAAATTTACAATACCCACAGTAATTTACCTTATAATTAAACATATATTTTTATATGCCTTTTGGTGATTTGTGCTTTTATGGTGAACTTAAGAAAAGAATCATGCTATTCAGTAAATTATAAATGTTGGCTAAACAGGGGAATGGTGGCCTAGTGGCTAGAGCATTGTACTTGGCTCTAGGAGCCAGTGTTGTGGTCAAACCACCTAACCCGAGACCAAGACAAGACCAAGACCAGAGTGTATCGAGACCGAGACCAGACCAAGACTTTTAGGGTCCGAGACCAAGTCAAGACCAAGACCGAGGGAAGTCGAGACCGAGTCAAGACCAAGACCAGCGCCAGTATGTGACAATAAAATGTGAAACATGATCAAAATCACTAAAATTTATCTGGAATAAACATAAACATCTTTATTTTGTACTTCTGTGTAGTAATCATAGAATTTCAAACAATTGATCAAAATAGTATTTTCTCTGCCTTTCATGAACACTACATACATTTATGTTGTTTTTAAATGTGCTATTTCAAAACAATGTGCAAATGTGTAAAACTGAAAAAATGCCAATCATTTCTCTTGTTTCTCTCTCATATACAGATTAAAGCTATATTATATAACTTTTCTTAAATAAATCTATATCTGTCAACAAGTTGTGAAAATATGTTATGAGAGAGATCATTTGTTGAAAAAAATTGATTGATCTCCGTCACTACCTCCCTGAGCTACTACTGACATCTGCACAAATACAAACCCCACTGAAATACGTGCACTGTCACAACATGTTGATAAAAGTTGGACGTAGTCCCTACCGTCTCTGATAGTGAAGCACTGCAGAACTTACATTGCGCTGTATGCTTTTTTCTCAACGTTGCTTTACAAATATATTCTTTGTGATTTAAATAGCCGAATTTTATAACCGATGATTTGGACAACATCTTATCCTGTTCTCAGACAACCACTTGTGACCAAGCATCCAATAAAAAGAAGGATCTTAAAGAAACTGATAATATTCTGATGATTAGCGTTATTTCCACAGTTGTGGTCTTGACCAGTCTTGAAATAAAATGCCGAGTCCTCAGTGCCCGAGACAAGACCAAGACCAAATGCGGTCAAGTCCGATACGAGACCGAGACCATCAAAAAATGGTCTCAAGACCGGTCTCGAGACCAAGACCAATCTCGAGTACTACAACACTGCTAGGAGGTAATGAGTTCAACTCCCACAGACTGCCACTCTGGAGCCCTGAGCAAGACCCATAACCCAACACTGCTCCCTGAGCACCACACAGTGGCAGCCCAATGCTCCCCAAGGGTATGGGTTAATTTCTCCAGTATGAGATTAATAAAGGTCAATTATTATTAGTAAACACTTCAAAACTGCATACATATTTATTGCTTAATCACCTTAATAGTCTCGGCGTCTCCAGGGTAAAGAACAACTGCAATTTTCTTAAGGTGCTTTGATTGTCTCTGGCTGCTAAACTCTAAGATTTTATCCAGCATCAAGGAGGCAACAAGATCTTTTGGAAAACCCAAGTTTCCAGTGCCAACAGCCGGGAAAGATATGGATGTCAATCGTGTTTTCTCTGCCAGGTCCAAGCAATCTTTAAAGATTCCAGTTAGAATCTGAAAGACAAATTGTATATCAGATTTCACTTTTCCAAAAAAAGAAAATTAAACAGTATAAGATCAGGACTGAAAGAGTCAGAGTTTGTCAGAGTTTTCTTATTAGATGCAGAGAGACATTTGAGATAGAAAATTACACCCAATGGAAATAATATACCTTTTCAGATGTTCCTTGGCCATTGTCCCAGCTTGGAGCGATCGCATGGAAAACTTGTTTGCTTTTTAGCTTGCAGCTGTCAGTAATGATGATCTCACCTGGTGCTCCACCAGTTTTCTGGTTATGCACCAGCTGCTGAAGCTTGGGTCCTGCGGCACTGAAGATGGCGTTTGAAACTGCCCCTTTGTTTAATACAAGATCCTCAGCCACTGTGTTCACAATTACCTCCGTCTAAAAATGTGGTATGATGTAATGAAAAAATGAAAGATTTTAGTTTTAAACTATTAAAATCATTTTTATCTTTAATCAAATATATAAAACATGCATGTTTACCTTGGAAGCCTCAATATTTCCCTTTTTAAGAACAATGTTCAAGCCCTCTTTAGTCTGTGCTCGGCACAAGCTGGGGTCAGGTAGAGCTAGCTTAACTAGGGAAGGCTTTGGACCAAGCTTGGGGCGAGGGTTCTGTGGTGATACACTAACTCCATGAGTTCCAAACTCTTGTTTCACTGCGGCCTCTATGCCAAGGACAACACTATCATCATTATCCACCAGATGAATCGCCTTCAAGGTGAGGTCATCATAACTTTCATCACAGTACTGCTTCACTGCTGTAACAATGGTGCTTAAGCACAGATTTAGGGGGAAGCCGAGATTTCTGCTGATGGCAGGAAGAGCCACAGAATCACAGCTGCACTTCTCAGCAAGTTCCAGGATTTCTTTAACGGTTCTTCTCAACTGGGCCTCGGACCTCTTTGGCTTATTAAGGTCAAAGCTTGGTCCTACGGCATGGATAACTTTTTTGCAAGGAAGTCGTCCCCCAGCATTAGTCACAACACAGTCTCCAGGTCTGAGTTTTCCTTTTGAGTTGATTATTTTGTCACATTCAGCCTGCAGCTGAGGGCCTGCTGCTTTTGAGATTGCCAAACCAAGACCTCCATTGTGTTTCAAGTCATCAGGTGAAGGACTGATAACAGCATCGACAGAGTAACTACATATGTCTGCCTTGGAGACCACTATTTCCACACCGTCACCTGTCTGGATTTTGTAAACAGGTTTCTGTTCTTGTACAAAATCTTGCAAAATCATTTGACTATGGCTTTTGGTTGATGAACCATTAGAGTCATCAACCATTTGCACCAGGCAGCCAGTATCGTTTTTAACTAAGGTAGCAAAAAGTGATTCTTTTTTCTGAAAACATTTTTTAACTCCTGGTTTTGTGACTTTTAAGCTGTCAAAGTACACAGAGGAGAGTGAATCCTTGACTATGCTTATGCAACTCTGTACAGCATTTCTACAGCCACTTAAGATGATCTCCTCCTTTCCAAAAGACACATCCACCCCACCCTCTAGCTGTTTTAACCAGGGTGCCTGACCTTTAAGGTACTCAATGACAACATTTGCCTCAACAGCAACAAATTCTTCAACGTGGGCATTTTGTGTTAAAAAGTCATCTATTTCACTGCTAACTTTGTCCACATTGTCCATCGGACCAGACACTACCACTTGCTGATGATGAACTTTAATCTGAGTTCTCATTCCTGACACACTGTTGGCTTTTTCTAGCTGATGGACAAGCTGCTGCCACTCTGGCTTTTTCAAGACGTCATTGTCTTCAACCTCGATGTACTCAGACTTCAGGATTTGGCTTAGGTGGTCTTGAGCACTCATTAGATCCTTGTCAGAAACAGCAAGAAGCTGCACTCTTTGCGGACTGATCTCTAAGGCTGCTTTTAGACCATAGGCTGTGAGAAGTACATCTGTGGCCTCCTCTTGTTGTTCTTCCTTCAGCATGTCAAGCAAAAATTGATCCAATTCTAAATTCTGTCGTTTTAATGCAAACATTGCATTGTTTATTAGTTGGTTTGCATTAATAATCTCTTCCACAAAGCCAGTTACTTTCAAAGCTTTCTTCTTTTGGTCATATGACAATTTGAGTTCTGGGTACATTTGCAGGAGTTTATCCTGAATACCATCTTGAGAAATGAGGAGAAAGATTGATGGGGGCAAATTTATTTCTTGAGTCTTGCTTAATTTCTCCCGTCTAACCTTTTCTCCAATCCTGCTAAGAACTTCTGAAACAGGTTTCTCAAGTGTGTTAACTTCATTTACAAGACCGACCATGTAAAGATTACCACTGGTTTTATCAGGAACTACAACCACGTCTTCTTTCTGGAGTTTCTCTTTAATCTTCTGCACAGACTCTTCCCATACCTCAGATTCTAGGGGAAACTTGATGGATTTGAATTTAGAGACAGACTGAATGAAGGCTGATCTAACAGTGTTTGCCCACTCTTTGATGATGACTTTTGCTTCTTTTTGCTTAAGTAATAAAGGCAGGGCACTGAGGCGGACAGCAGACTTCTCCAGGGTAATGATGCAGAAGTGTTTTTCCAAGTCACGACGAACGGTCTCCAGAGCAGTTTTGTTTTCAGCAAGGTATCCCAGGATAGCAGTGTCAGTGGGTTGAGATATGGAAGCAGGGAGTTTTGGTGATGGCTTATCTTTCCCATACAGTGCAACACCCAAAGATTTGTAATATGGATAGACTTTGACCCCCTGCTTTTTTATGGTGTGCTTCACATTCATGACTTTCTTTGCAGCTGTGGGGAAAATAATTAAACTTAAAATTCACAGTTTAACATGAGAATTAACCAAAATAATTAGTATGTACAACAATTGAACTACCTTGATTTTCCTTGAATGTGATAACAGCAGACTGTTCAGCTTCGTTCAGTTTGACATCTTCGACATCTCCACCTTTACTCTCAAAGTAGAGGTGCAGAATGTCTTCACTGCAGTCTGAAAACCCTTCAACAACAACCCTCTTCGTGGTCTCAAGGGGTCGAATTGAAAAGCCCTTCTTTGTGAACATCCGATTTTGCGGACATATTTCTATAAACTCCCTGTTATCTGAGAATAAAGAATAGATTAATTAATAAAAATTTTATTTCAAGCTGTTATAAATAGCACTCATTAACTAAGTAGTTACCTTTCCCACTCTGGAATGTCACAACAGCAGATGAGATGTCAGGAATGAGTTCCAAAATGTAGTTCTTGGAGGCAGTTGGAGAGTTTAGATCTCTCAAAATGTTCTCCACTAGCATTTCCAAGAATTCTTGTGTTACAGTCTCTGGAACGTTCTCTAAGACAGCCGAGGTGGAACACGGCTCTTCGTCCTCTGAATCTTCATCTTTGCCTTTTGCCTCGATTTGATCTTCATCCATAGTTTTTTCTTTTCCAGGTAACTGTTTATTGGTCTCTGCCTTGTCCGCTGTTTATTGGATATAAAAGTTAAATGAGTACCCTATTGTGCACTGACAAATAATACAAGTACTTTAGATGCAAAGTAGATTATTAACCCTTTTACAGTGAGCTTAGGGCAAAATATCTATTAGCTGTCCTAAGTAATTATGTCCTAAAACCCATTTAAAATTTAATATGATTTATACTATAGATGTTTTTCGTAATGTTGTGATTATTAAAAGCTTGATATTCATTATAATAAATAAAACAAGAGTTAAAGGGGTCACAGAATGCAAAACTGAGTTTGCATTGTCATAGATGAATAACGATAGTTCAGTGGGTGAAATGGATGTACAGAGAAGTTCAAAACCCATCAACACCTCCTTTCCCTGCAAATCTCACAATTCTAAACTTCCACCATAAAACGGGCGAATCCAAACGAAGCCCCGAATTGACGTAAACTCAGGGATGTTTCCTTATTTGGTTCTGGCCTTTAATTTTGTCACGCCCCGAAATTGACATACAGACCAGCCCACTGGTTCACTGGCCCAAGAAGATGAATAGAAGTAGATGGAAGACACGAGTCTAGCTGTTTAGCCTACAGTTGGGTTTACTTCAACAAGAATTACAAAGCAGGCAGTCTCTCTATTGAAAAATTAGCCAGAACCACGGGCGTAAAGGCAGTGATCCAGGCTGCATGGAGAAAGGGGAAATTTTTTCCAGTCCTAACAAGGATCCGAAGGCATTGATTATTTTTGTGTATTAGAAGATCCCTGCAAAGTTTGATGCGCAGCTGTTCATGTGCTGAAAGCATTTTACCGAAGAAAGCTTTCAAAATTTTGAAAATTCAAAGCAGGATTTGCTAGACTTCTTTTACTGAAATGAGGGGCTGTTCCAACTGTAAGGCCGTCACAACCGCATACTGTAAGTATTATTCTGTCGCTAAGCTGTTGATAGCATTGCTAGGACCGGACCGGGCACTCGTACCAAGCCGTCAGCTCTGGAGCTGGTCTGGGAATCCAAGCGGACGGGGCAGGGAGCCAGCTGGAGCGACCGAATCCAACCTGGTGAAATCAAAGTTAGGGGGCGGGGTTAACGCGGATCGAGTCGCCACCTACTGTATCAGAGTATGTTCACAACCTGTGGATCACGGTCTCTGTAATCGATTTGCTTCGCCTTAATGTGCAGGGTGACCAATCAGGTGTTAGATAACCGCCCCCTAACCTTGATGGGTGAGTTTGACAGATTCTTTTAATGGTTTCAATGCACTGCGACACAGGACCATGAAATAATTAAATGCACACTGAAATAATTCTATATATATTTTTAATAAAATGATGGTAAAATTTTATTAAATTAATGACAGATTTATATATTTGATTCCTTATTTATTTATTGAATTACACATTTAATTAATTGTTTATCGCTATATTTATTTATTTAATTGTGGCACTTTATATTAGTGACGTGGTTTTAATTAATGAATGACACATTTATTGATTTAATTCCACATTTAATTAATTATTGACACATTTAATTATTTATTTAATGCTGTATTTATTTATTTAATTTTGGCACTTTTTATCCTCCATAACTTCCTGTACACATACAACAATTGTTTTCTGATAGAGATGGAAAATATAATCTAAGAGGAAAATTTAAATTCAAAACTAAGTATGTTCGAACAACAAAAAGAAGCTTTAGTTTATCAATTAGTGGAGTGAAGCTCTGGAACAGCTTGCCTGAGAACATTAAACAATGTAAAAGCATCCAGCAATTAAAAAAAGAATATAAGAAAAGTATTTTTGAAAAATAGAAAAAAAGAGTAATATATAAAGTTGGTATACTGATTGTCTTACTGTAAATAATTGTCCTTTATCACTACAGTATGACATATGTAACTGAGGGGTAGGGCCTAATAAGCTTATGCTTCATCCTACTTCTTTTTGAAACATGATGCATGTTTTTGAAGCCTTCAATGTAAACATTGTTAAATCATATCATGTTTCAAAATAAATGAAATGAACATGAAATGAAATGTATAATACATTCATTTCATATTAATTAGTATATTTTTCATGGGTACTTACACTTTTTGCCGCCTTTATCAGCGTGATGTCCCTGATAAAAAAAAAATAACAAAACAAATATTTTTGATATATTTTTCTGGACAACACTGATAGATTTTTTTTTTTTTTATTCAGCTCCAAAACATTTCCACTGGTTGGGAAAAGACTTTAGTCAAGGTAAGATTTTATGAGGTAATAAACACAGTACTTTAATCTGTTGTGCATCCTCATAGACACAAAATGAAAGGACAAAAGCAGGAATACAAGCAGGCAGAACCATCTTGTATTTCTGATCAGTCATATGATTTCCAGTAAGCAATAAAACCCCCCACAGGATCAGGTCTACTTTATCAGAGGTTTAGACATTAGAGTTTAACCAAGAAGCCAATAAAGCGTTTATTGTTCTGTGGCAGATCAGGTAAACATCATTAAACATGGATTCAGCAGACTATCAATGTCTTATATCAATGCAAACATATAACAAGTTTACTGATTTAAAAACATAGTCCTAAATAAATATACACAGCAGCTGTAGGCGTGTCTTCTGCTGCCAGGCTTTTGATGACATAACAGAAACTGAGATTAGATTATCTCTGTAATTGATATTCTAAAAGCCCTAATAGTTGCAATACTTATGTTTAATTCTTAAAAGTGTGATAAATGAAGAAAGTTTGAACTTTTTGAACTCACCTGCTTCTTTTTGTCCTCTGAAGGAAGGCGAACTGACAGCTTTAAAACTCCCTGATCCAAACTGATCTGGTGCGCCTTTTTTTCCAGGACATTTTTCTGGTCTGGGAGAGAAACCAGATTGAATCCAGAAGGTTTTATTAAAGATTGGTTATAAAACTAATATTCCGGGTCTTACCTTCCTCCCTGCGGAAGCGCAGCAGCGCAGTCCTGCTCCCAGACTCATACTCCACCTCACAGTCTCCTCCATTAGACTTCTTACTCTGAAAATACTTGATTAATTTATTTTTTAGTCTAGTTGCGTTAGTTTCCTCAAACTCAACCAGAACAGGGTAGGAATAACTCTCCGCCATTGTGCAGCTTCCAGCCGCTCTGGTGTGACTGAACAAACACTTTCACTTTTGTTTCTGATGAAATGGAGAGAGGCGGACACGAAGCTGCTAAACTTCGCGGGATTGGAGCAGAACAAAGCAGAACCTATTGAAAGACATGTTTACAAGAGCAAGTTTGAAGACTTATTAACTCGAACTAGCAAAACAGCCGGTTTCCACTGGTCCACACCCTGTCCCACTTTACTTTCAGTTTTCACTCGATGCGTCTGGAAAGGTAAGCGCTTCGCCTCTGCGTTTAGTCTGAAAATAAAAGGAAAAAACTTCCACAGTTTATGTATTTTATGTGATGTTGAAATATATCAAAAGCTGGGCTTAAATCAGTTTAGGTATTTACAAACCGTAAGTGAATGCGACGTCAGGTAAAGATTCGCTTTTGATAACCAGAGACGAAGATCGGGAAACATTTGAAACTATATCATAAATCTTTGCTATAAATATTATAGTTAGTTGTTTCTTGTGTTTGTTTTAATGAAAACATAGACATTAAATACTGTCATATAAAAAAAAAAAAAAATCAAAACAATGTTAACCAATCTAATTTAATAAAACACGTTCGCTATCAACATAAAATTAGTAGGGTATGGTTACTTTAGAGTACAGTGATGTTAGGGAATACATGCTGTAAAGCTTGTTTTTAAATCAAGTAAATAACTATTCGGTGTCAAACGTTGGTATTTCAGGCATCTTTGTCTCCCTCTGCTGGACATAGAATATAATAGATTTTAACTGAATAGGCTGCCATATTGTGGTTGTGAATGTAACCGAGTAGAAAGACCTGCACAAAAGACTGAATTAAAAAAAAATAATAATTATCAAAATCGAGCTTAGCGTGAATGAAAAAGGAGTGTGTCAAAGTGTTAAGTAAAAATTTGAATTTTTTTTAAGCAAGGAAGACAGTAAGTGGTTCTCAGAATAGTGGGGAAACTGTGTAATAAGCATAATTGAAGACACAAAACACCTTCAGAACAGGTAAAACAAATATTGAAATAGTCATTAATATTCTTTTTTATAAAGATCTATTTTTCCATAGCATCTCTCATAAAGGTATTGACATTTCTTTCTGTATTTATATATACTTATACACACACACACATATATGTGTGTGTGTGTGTGTGTGATATATATATATATATATATATATATATATATATATATATATATATATATATATATATATATATATATATGTATAACAATATACTAATCAATTAGCAAGACAAATTTGCACTGGATTACTTATCAATGACATCACGGACCATCTTCCCATATTTAATGTTTTCAAACAATTACAAAAAAAAAAAATGTTATTTTAAATTTGTAAGATAACGAACACCTTATTCAAGGCTGACCTATAGGCCCAAACTTATGAAGGAGTTTATGCAACTCCTGACCCAGATATGGCATACAATGCCTTCCTACTAACTCAAATCCAACTATATAATCATTACTGTCCATGCCGGAAATGAAAAATAAAAATAGCTAGGATAAGCAATGGATTACCAAGGGCATGGCTAAATCCTGTAAAAGAAAACAACTTTAATTACATTAAAGCAAAGGACTAAACAAACTGAAGAAAAGTATAAAATGTATGAAAATAAGTTAACACAAATAATACGATTTAAAAAAAAGCATAGTATCATAATTTGGTGGAGCAGAACAAGAGTGATGTCTAAGGTACGTTGAAGGTATTTAATGGCATTTTTTTCGGAATGGCAGGAAAAATAATGAATACAGAGTTAATTGCACAGTGAATAACTCTATCAATGAAAAAAAGGACATTTCAAATGCTTTTAATCGCTTTTTTATTGGTGTTGGGGTAATGGAAATCGAAATTGTGGAACCACTGTGTTTATGAGAAGGAAATAATTGAAACTGTATATTCCTTTAAGTATAAATAATCAACGGATGGTTCTGACATAAATATGGTCCTTGTGAAAGATTTCATTGAACATATTGTCATTCCCTTCATGTATATTTTGAAACAGTCTTTTCTGACTGGTATCTGTAAAATGTTAACCACTTAAGTAATACCCTATTTTGAAAGGGGAGATAATTAATAGTTCACCAACTACAGACTAATCTCAATACTCTTGCAATTTTAAAAAAATACTAGAATACTAAAATGTGTTTGTTAAAACACTTTATAGCTTTGTAGACCAGCATAAACTGTTAAATGAACATCATTATGGTTTTATATCCAATAGATCAACTTCAATTTTTTGGGAGCTAAACTATTTATTATCTACATAAATGCAGTTAGTGAAGTCCTTAGCAATTTATGATGCATTCTATTTTCTGATGATGCCAGTCTGTACTTTTCGGGACAAGACTTCAAGTAGCTGTTGAGTACAGTGTGAACTGAACTAAGAAACTAAAAAAATAAATGGTTTGATATAAATAACCTTTCCATAAATCTGAACACAACTAAATATATTGTATTTGGAAACAGGAACGTTAAAAAAAACATGTTGAATCAAAACGTGTATTTCAATTTCCAATTCAGCTTATTGGTTATAAGCTTAATTGGAAGGTGCATATTCTAGAGACAAATTGCTAAACTTATTGCTATATTACGTAGGGATGGGACGATTTATGAAAACCGTCCGAACCGTTCAGTTCGACTGTCTCGGTTCGGTTCGCGTGTGTTGCGTTCGGTTCATGCGCTGCTCCTTTTTCTCATAGGCGAAGCGTTTACACTCCAGAGCAGAAGGTGGCGGTACTGCGACCAAAGCCAACCACCAGTAGAAAACAAGAAGAAGAAGAAGCGAAGCAGCGTAGCTGGGTGTAGCAGAAAAAAATCAGTTGTTGTGGAGAATTGTGTGGGTATGGCGAGTGGGAAAGAACAGGAGTTGGAAGACGCGCCAGCAGCACTTTATAGGTCTGCTGTATGGGACCACTTCAGGTCACTGCATTTAGAGTGACCTACGATGACGGCGGAAAGAAAGTTGTGGATAAAAGTGCAACACGTTTTGTTTATGCTAACAGCAACATGACAAAACATGTCATGCTAACCCTGAAATCCCTCATACTCCGTCAGCAACCCCCGCTTTCCTACATTTTTATGGAATTTCGGTGTAACAATCAACATATACCGAATCAAACCGAACCGAAAACCGGGACCACGAAACCGTGAATCGAACCGAACCGTGGATTTTGTGAACCGTTCCACCCCTAATATTACGTCAAATTAAAACCTATGTGAATCAAAATGCTGTGTGCTAACTGTACAATTCCCTCTTCTTTCCATACCTTAGTTATTGCGTGGAAATATGGGGGTAATATGTATAAAACTCTACAACTCTACAACCAATATTCTTGCTACAAAAGAGAGCAATCAGAGTGATCAGACATGCAGAATACCATGTTCCAACAAATCAACGTATTTGATTGAATATCTTAAAATTGCATGATCTGGTTGATCTAAACACGGCAGTCATGATGTACAACGTGCACAACCTAATGCTTCCTTGCTGTTTGCAAGAGATGTTTCAAACCAGAAAAACAAGATGCAACCTCAGAGGGCCTAATCTGCTACAAAAACCCTAGGTGAATATTAATACGAAGAGGAGGTGTTTATCATTTAAAGGAGTTGATCTGTGGAACAATTTACCTAATCAGCTTAAGTGATCCAAAGCTATTCATGCATTTTTTTTAAAAATCTATAAGTCAAATGTTTTGGAAATTATATATAATTGAAGGTTATCATAAAATAACTGTGATGCATAGCATAATTTTGACTTTGTACGTTTACTTTTTGTGCATATATGTTACTGTTGTTGATAGAGCAACTGATGTGCCATCTTTGGGGATAGTGTTACATTTGTAAGCAGGGTTAGGCATTATATGTCTCGACTTCAGCCAAAACCCTTTCGGTCAGGCATCGTTTAGCACTTGCTATTTTTAAAAGAACATGCTCTCTTATTGTGTCATGTACAAGAACTTTCAAAAAGTTTGTGCATTCTAAGTGTTTATAATATTTAAACTGACCGAATAAATAAACTACTACTACAACGTAAAATCAGCATTTCTTCTTGCTATCTGTAATTACTTCTAAGATATTAAAAAAACTTTTGACAAGGAAAAATAAAATTTTGACTATCCTGAATATTTTAAGATATCAGAATTTATATTATGACAAGTGAAACTAATGGTTCAATATATCTTCAATTTAATTTAAGAGAAACAAAATACCTTTTGAGATATCTCAAACGGCGTCATCTGATTACACGTTTAAAGTGTCACACTTCCAAAGTATAATCAAAGTTAATTTTGACTAGTCAGAACTATTTTATTTTTAATATCTGAATTAGGGGCAAGAAGGTTCAGGGTTCGATTCCTGGCATGGAGTTTTCATGTTTTATGTTCTCCCTGAGCATGCGTGGGTTCTCTCCAGGTACTCCGGCTTCCTCCCACAGTCCAAAAACAAGACTGTTAGGTTAAGTGGCTTCTCTAAATTCTCATGCGGCTTAACATGTCATCACCGGTCGGATCATGGAAGCTAACTTGCACCCGGAAGCAACACTAATTTTACTGACCTACAGGTGTCATTACTGTCAGTGTGAAGAACAATTTTAAACATATTAACTACTGGTGGAGTTTTCTCCATGGAGGGCTATAAACTCAAATTAGATGTAAATCAAATACCAAATTTATATGTATTTATATACATAAACTATTTTCTGAGAATGTATTTATTGAAGAGCAACTGTGAAAATCAACAAACATCTAGGAAAAGTACACTATATTATATCAGTTTCAATGTGAATCCCAGATTGTTCATTCTTCTTTGTCTTTTCTAAAAAGTGCTTTATATCAGTCCTGCCTGTCTTTATCCATGCTGGGTCAGATTCTGACTGTTGAAAAGTGAGGCAGACAGTCAAGGCAGCAGAATAAAGCATTAGCCTCACACCAAGCAGTTAGCCAAGCCTTGTAGCTAAACCAGATCCTGGAAAAAGACTGTACCGTCTCCCTCTGTCTTTGGACTGCTGATGTATTTTGATGTTCGGCAGATCAGGTCCAAATAATTTAATCTCCAGCTTTTCATTGTAAGAATAGCAACTCGACCTGTCAGTCACCTGCACTACAACTGTGACAACAGTTCCTGTCACCTCTGGGCACATCTCACCTGCGCCCAGAGCTGTCCTATTCTTCTGTATTGCAGAGGAGCTACTGGGCATGTACAACTTATAAAGAGAGTCTATGGCCAAAGATTTTTGCACCCTAGGGCAGAAATACGTCATCAATCCGACACTAAACAGCTTTACTTCCACCACTGATACAGTTATCACTAAAGGAATCAGAGAAATGACTGAACATCTGAGACAGAGGGCAGGAAAGAGAAGTGGGATATTTAGAAGTCCAAAAAGCGTCAGGATAGACAGAGAGAGAAGCAAAGCAGTGCTAAGCTTGCACTAGCCTAGGCTAGCTACCCCTTACTACCACAATTAAAACTATGTGAATGCAATATGGTGACCATTAGGGATGGGGATGGAAACCCGGTTCTATCAAGGACCCGGTTCCACTTTTTTCAAAACCCGAAAATCAATAACATTTGGGCTTATCGATACCACTATCGAGTCTGGTCGTTTTTTTTTTTTCTACCGGAGGTCCTGTAACATAATTGTGTGTCCCTCAAATCGCGTCACAGCATTTAAATCTAATCAATCCAATCACTGCAGCATGTCCACCAATGTTTTGGAATGAAATTGTAAGCAAACAGATATTAAAAGTAAAACAAGTGAAGTCTGGCAGTTAACTTTGCTCGCGACTCGAGGATGGCTGAACGGAAAAGACTCCTCCTCCTGCTGCTGCCGCACCACAGTCGGGCCGTCTTCATCATCCACTCAGTACCACTGGTAAGCGCGCACACAGACTTTGTAGCTTGTCCAGTCAGTTAAAAATAGTAATTGTGAAATCCGTGTTGTAATCGGCAGCATACAAGCTAGTTAGCTTGAAAAGTAAATAAAGTTTCAGACGTGCTGCGTGATGATGTGTTCAGATTGGCTCAGTAAAACGACAATTAGGTTATCATGATGCGTTCAAGTGTAACGTAAAGAAAACGGAAAATTTAGTTTTTGGCGAGAAACATGAGTAATACATATATACGTATATAAACGTATATTGCTCTAATTATTTTAGAATATATAATTAAACTACTGATGCCAACATTTATTAAAAATTACATTTAATTTAAAATACAATTATTTATTTGCTAAATATTTTCCTAATCACTAAAAACATGATGAAAAGTGACAGTAGACAATACATTAACCAACAATTGTGAAAATGTATTCTAGTTAGTTTTATGTCATTTCGAAGTGGCCTATTACATTAGCCATGTTTATTGAAGGCTAGAAACGTTTTTGTTATCTCACTTGTTAAGCAATAAAAGCAATACCAGTTCTGTTAAAAAAATATTGTTGCATCGTCTTTCCACCAAATAACAGAAAAGTATCAATAGTGGTATCGATAAAGACTCGAATCGATAAGGAGTATCGATAAAGGTATCGATATCAATAAATATTAACGATCCCCATCCCTAGTGACCATGGAGGCACTCCGCCGTAGCTACAATACCGATGTGAGGTTTTGGTAAGTACACCTCACTATAGAACTTGTATTTGGTTTGAGCCATGGTTATTAAGCTTGAATACCCCGAGTGGACCAAAAGCTCTAATGCGCTTGTGTGTCAGATTTAGGTATACTAGAAACAATGAGCACAAAGGTTCCCTCTTGGGTTTTAGAATGTATTGAATTCAATTCAGTTTATTTCTATAGCTCCAATTCACATCATGTCATCTCAGGTCACTTTCCAGTTCACCAGATCATCCAGTCAGATTGATTCAAAGTTTTCTATCTAAGGAAAACCAGTTGATTGTATCGACTCATTGACTGGAATGCAATCCCTCACACTAAGCATGCTTGTAGCGACAGTGGAGAGGAAAAACTCCCTTTTATCAGGAAGAAACCTCCAGCAGAACCAGGCTCAGTGTGAGCGACCATCTGCTGAGGCCGACTGGGGTTCAAGGAGACAGAAGCAGAGACACAAAAAGCAGCTGTAAAACGCGGCCCCGTCCAGGAAACACACAGCCAGGCAGACGGGCTGCGAGCCAGCTCCCATGTCAGAGGATGAAGAGAGCACAACCAGCCAGTCACAGTCAGCGAACCAGGACTCCAACATCTATAAACAAGGGTGTTGATGGAAGCATTACAGCTGATATTTCTCTCCAGGATGGAGTCACAGCCAAACAGGAACAGACGAGGCAAAGCTACTATGAGAAGAAGCAGAGAGAACATAACGTTAGAGATTGAACTAACAGATTCTGCAGAATAGGAGAATAGAGAGAGAATGGAGCAGAATGGTGAAATGGGATGTATATAAGAAAAGGGTTAGGGCTTATTAATTAATTAATCCTATTAAATGCAAAGTCCTGGCCCTAGTATTAACACATGCTTTTTTGTTTCCTTCAATGGGAAAAGTTTCTGTATGAGAGCTGGGTCTTGAAAATAACACTTATACAAGCTGTGTTTGTGACTTCACATTTTGGTCCCGATTGACCACAGCCTTCTGCAAAAGAGGGGAGTCTTGAGCAGTTTATCTCCAAGGTGGGAGGGGTCAGCTGTAATCTTATCTGGTATTTGTTTGGGCATGTGATACACCTCATACAATGCCACCTGCCCTTGTCTGTGGTAGTTGCATCAGTGTACCAGATGGTAATTAAGAAGGAGAGGGTGGACTCAATGATGGTGCAGTAAAAACCCACCATCATTGTCTTAAGCAGCTTTAACTTCTTCTACTGCAGCAGGAAGTACATCTTCTACTGTGCCTTCTGAATGAGGGAGGTGATCTTCAGCTCCCACTTGAGGGATGAAAGTGCTTGGGAAGATAAATGAGTCCACATTTGGAACTAAAGAGTAAACAACTATAGCTACTACCTTAGAGCATTGCGCTCTAGACTCTTCTGGCTGCTCCAGTTAACCAGTCAATGCATCTACCATATGTTACCAGACTCATTACCACAGCCTTAATTAGGATGGTGTCCTTTGCAAACTTATGGATTCTGACAGACTGGTGACCATAGGTGCAGGTGTTTGTATACAAAATGAAAAGCACATGCCAGAACAAATACCACATGGAAAAACATGAACCCTAATATATTAATTCCAATGTCCATATCCACAAAAACATCCTTGTAATAATGAGATACTCTTACGGAACAATTTTGCACACACTCCCGTGTTTGAACAATTTTTTCCATAGTTTGTTTAATGCGAGCATTAATGGGTTAAAATATTTTAAAGCAATGTTGACTGCAAAAGTTGCATTCTGGTGTTTGGCGTGCATGACCCATGTATGGAGGCTTAATCCTCAAGCCGCATGTCTCTCCCCTAATTTCATACCCCTTTTCCTGTCAGCCTACTGTTGTAAAATAGGGTAGCAGCATTAGGGATAGGCATCCATATTTTGGATTTATGATGAAATGTGTCCTTGAGATGTTAATAGAGTGCTTTATGATCTTTCCACAGGTTGATTAAGAAACTATGGCAAGTCAACTGGATATTCATCTTTATGGAGAGTCTCTTGCCATAGTTAAACAATGTGGAGCCACTCTGTGTGTCATCATTGAAACTAAATTTGGATGTGTTGCCACCCTTGAGGGTGTGCAGCTGGAGAATGAGAGAAACACTCCATACCAGAGAGGCCCTCCAACCATTCCTCCACAGAAGAGACTTGAAATCACGATGCCTTCTGGTATAAAGGTGTCTGTATGGAAGGCTGATCTCACCAACTTCCACGCTGATGCTGTTGTGAATGCAGCTAATAAAGAGTTAAAGCACATTGGAGGCCTTGCTCTAGCTCTGTCCTCTGCTGGGGGTTTTCAAATACAAAAGGAATGTGAGGATTATGTCAAAAAACATGGGAAATTAAAAACAGGGGAGGCAGTTGTTTTTGATGCAGGGCTACTACCTTGCAAAAAGATCATTCATGCTGTGGGTCCAGACCTGTCATTCAAACCTACAAAGAATGAGGTGTTACATGCAGAACAATTATTGAAGAAAACTATTCAAAGCATTCTTGACAAAGTTGAAGAAAAACATCTGGCGAATGTTGCCATTCCTGCCATAAGCTCTGGAATATTCAACTACCCACTGCCAGAATGTGCCCAAACCATAGTGTCTACTGTTAAACAGTACTATCAATACCTGCCCACTGGTAGACATGCTCCTCAAGACATCTTCCTTGTGAATAATGATGATCCCACAGTGCAGGCAATTGAAAAAGCATGCCATCAGATATTTAGTCTTCAACAGTATCCATCCTATAGCCAGGCTGTAGCAAAAAATACCAGGAGCGCTGCTCCTCGAAACCCACCACCTTCAGTCCAGATTGGAAATGTCATTCTGACATTGAAGAAGGGTAACATTGAGGAACAAAAGGTAAGGATCAGTCTAAAATGTATCAAACTATCACCTCCTGCTTCGTCCCTCAGGTCCATAGTGGGGCTGGTGCCTATCTCTCCAGCAGTCTTTGGGTGAAAGATACACGCTGGACAGGTTGCCAGTCCATCGCAGGGCTCAATCTAAAATGTTTTTAAAAATTACTGTAATAATAATAAATTTTTTTATTTAGCATATAAGTGTTTACTCTGTATGCATAGGAACTACTAGAAAACATCATGTATGATTCGTTTTGAGTTTCCTTAAAAAAAGAAAACTAATTGTTTTGTGCTTTTTTATTATGGTAACAAAAAAGGGAAAATTTACTGTTGATAATTCTTGGCTAACATTACTTTCTACAGTCTGCCTGATGAAATAATGAAAAAGATGGGAAAAATTATCATTGAGAAACTTGAAGATATTAGTGTAGAAGAGAAAGTTGTGATAAAGAAATGTTGAATATTAGGACTGTCATTATTTTAACTATGATCCAAAAGCAGTAAACCAATACAGACAGACCAGGGAAAAAGTTTAACAGGTTTATTTAAGAGCTTGTGAAGATCCAGTGTTGCTCTGAACACTGCTCAACGGGAACTGAAAGGTGAGGGGAAGACACTGCGGTTAGTTCAGGCTCGGTGGGAAATTTGATTCTCGAACTTGAAGAGGAGAAATAGATTGCTGACTCACGTTTCCAGAAAAGTGGTTGGCTCTTTGACTCCGGTCGGTGTTGGGGTGTTCCAGTGTTTGTCTCTTTCGATGGAGGGCGGACAAGGTTTACCCAGAATGCGGTTGTTTGTAGGTGAACGGAGAAATGACTGCCACTTAGATTTCCTGCGGTCATTAAACTGGTCGTTGTGGAAATGAATCCCTTGCTCAGTGTGAAGCTCAAACGATCTCTTGGAGTGAAGTAGATCCAAACCTCAAGTTTGGATCCTCAGCTCAGTTTAAAGCTCAGATGATCCTTCCAGGGAGAGAAGGTCCGAAAAATCCAGTTTGCAGGATGACTTCCTGCCGAGAGGCAAAGATAAAATAACAAGGTTAAGGCTCAGGTGGACAAAAACTCAGTTTGACTCAGCAAAATTCACCTTGGCTAAATTACTCAAAACTGGCAGTCAGTAGCTTAAGAGCGCTCCGTTAACGAGGTAACCCTCTGCAGGTGTGTGAGGAGGCAGACGAGAACCAGGCACCTCCTTCTGAAGGAAGGGAGACGAACACAGAAACATAAAACACACTGACAGGAATCCTGACAAGGACAGAATTAACAAAGGAATGGGAGGCATAAGTTTAAAAGTGCTTACTGAGCCAAAGAAATTGTAAGTCCCCTAAGAATGAAGAGTAGGTGTTTTCTTGAAGGTCGTTTTAGTTTAATGTATTACAAAAGGCCATATGTCTACCACATTCCTTGTATCCAAGGGTCTGATCCTGGATGTGGAGTGACTAAGATAATAATGATATGGCTTTTTTTTTTTTTTTACATCTTTAGCAAACATTTTTGGTCTTTCAAATGTTGAACTTCACAGAAAGCTAAACAAAAGATTCTAACCACCTTTTGAATACCCTCCTGATAAAACTTTAGAGCATCTGTGCCAGATTGGTTCCCAAATGGAGAAATATCATTAGATGATGTGTTTAATGTGTGTGCTGTTTCGGTCAATATTTTTGTGAAAAACAGTAAGATGTGGGCAAAAATTTTTAATTAATAAAAATAAAATTAGCTTACTTGATTTTATTTAATTATAAGACACCAGTTCTGGTTCACTTGATAAACAACAAATAAAGCTGTTACCCCAGAGTGTCACCAATGTTTACCTAGTGGTCAAAGAAATGTACATGTTTATTAATATTTACAAGGTTAAAAGAAGTGAAAGAATCACAGAAAATTAGGTCAGTTTTTTTGGTTAAAGGATAAAGAAGCTTCCATTCTCCACCTCCTTGTTTTCCAAATTGGCAAGCTCAAAGTGAAACAGTTTGTTTAACATGATCACTCATATACCATCCTAACTCATTAATAAAGCATTGATCTCAGTGGACTGTGATCACTCAATTCCTCTGCAGGGAATGTTTTTTGGAGACTGGAACTATGGTGCACTCTTTTCTTTGTTCAGAGGTGCAGAAAGAGTTAAAATAGTGCTCAAAAATTCCTGTTGAAAAATAACAGCTGAGCAGGTGTACAACTGCTTGAACCCACTTCCTCTGTGCCTGTTGACTCTGTTTAAGACGGAGCATCAAACTATGTTGAACTGAATTTAAACCAGTAACCATATAATTTTTTTTTCTTTTTCAGACAGATGTCATTGTTAACACTGCATCACCAGACAGAAACCTGCATATGGGTAAAATTTCCAATGCAATATTGAAAAAAGCAGGTTATGAAATCCAAAAAGAAATATCAAGAGCTGAAAAGAAGGGCTATATGATCAGTACACAGCCATACAAACTGCACTGCAAAGAGGTGTTTCATACTTTTTGCGTGGAAAGAGAGCAACAAGGAGCAGATGTGGTACATTTCTGTTTTTCACGGATGGGGATAAAATAAAATACCAAATGTATTAAAAATACATTTTTATATATATCCCAATTTATGTACATCTCTTTCTACCCTTTCATTTGTTACAGATCCTTTTAAATTCTGTATTGGATTGCTTATGGATGGGTATTACACGGCATTACACCTCAATCAGCTTCCCTGCCATTGGCACTGGAGCTCTTCATTTTAGTAAAGAAGAATCTGCCTCAATAATGTTTCATGCAGTCTTCGACTTTGCCTTTAAAGTTAAAAAAAAGATGGAGGTTAATTTGGTCATATTTCCCTCTGACCATGAAACGTTCCAGGTACTTTCCTACATTGTGTTTTGAAAGTGTTTGTTTAAAATATTAATGTTCATATTTTAGCACTTGACATGGAAAATATGTTGTGTATCTACTTATGTGTATAGTCTATTGTGCTGAACATTTGATCTGTTCTGTGTCCCCAGGTCTTTGAGGAAAAACTGGGCTTTTTCCTACAGGGATCAGCCTCTTCCAGCTCTCCATTTGGTAAAGATCGAATGTTCCTGTTAATCAGCCCATATCAAGTTCATATTTGCTTATTTAATCTCCTAAGTAATTTAAAGTGCCCCTGTCTTCATGTGATTATAGTCAGTGGGTCACAGAAAACATGTTGTGGAATAACTTAACTTAGTTATTGAGCTTAAGCATTTACTGTCTGATTAAAACTGAAACTGGTCCACAGAGCAATCAGGAGAAGGGAAATACAGCCTTCGTTCTCACCAGCAACACTCTCCAGGTCAGTCTTGGGGGTCTCAAGGACATCCCAGGGGAGAAGGTGAATACAGCACCGCCAGTAAGTTCTTGCTCCACATGAAAAGGGATACATATTTTTACATGTACTTAAATTTTTTAAATATTATTTAAGTTAACGAAACAAATCACATGATAAAATCCTATTATAAAAATGTCATACAATTTATATGAAGCAAGTGCAGCAAATTTTTATTTTAATCATTTTATACACTAAAGGTTTGTGTAACATTTTATTTAACAGCATCTGGCCATGAAGCTGATTCCCACACAAAGAGAGCTCTAACCCCAAACATCCGCTTGCATGGTCCATCTCATGAATCAACAAAAGAGGCTGAGAAGTGGCTCGATAACCTTCTCACCAGTCATTCTTATACCATTTACAACAACTTCATCTTGCACTTTGGTGAGGGAGACCATGTGCAGCTGTCTGCTTTTGCAGAAAAGGGATTAATTGAAGAGTATTTGACAAAAGGTCATGCATGTATAGAAATAACTGGAGAGACAAAGGAAGACACTGTTCTTGCTGCTCTGGAGGTGGAGGCCATGCTCTGTAAAATTCAGAAGGAGTTCATCTCAGAGGAAGAAGGTGAACTGCAGATGTGGACCCAAACAGAGAAATCCTATAAAAGGGAAACAATTGAGAAGTCAAGTAAAGAATTGAGAAGTCAATATGAGGCCTTTTTCAGACACGGGCTGAGAGTAATGAAGGTATACTATTATTAAACACCTAAAGATGTAAGTCATGGATGATTTGAAATTCTACAACTAAATTATATATATATTTTAAAATGTCTCCTCAGGTGGAAAAAGTAGAGAATAATCCTCTGAAGTTGATGTTTGAAATGAAGAAAAAGCAGCTTGGCAGTTCATCTTCTAGAACCATGTTTCAGTGCATCCCAGCACAGTTCTGTGAGATGATCAGTAGGATTGGGTTCCAGGCTGAGTGTTCACCGCCTGAAGGTAAATCACCAAAACTATGAGTTTATTCACTATGCCAGAAGTCCAGTGTTAATTACTCACAGTCAGTGATGGTCTGGGGTTCCATGTCAGGTGTTGGTGTTGGTGTTGGTCCACTGTGTTTTATCAAGGGCAGGGTCAATGCAGCTACCTACCATGGTATCACTGTGCTCAATTGGCCTGCCAAGTCTCCTGACTGAACCCCATAGAGAATCTGTGGGATATTGTGAAGAGAAAGTTGAGAGACGCAAGACCCAAATCTCTGGATGAGCTAAGGGCCGCTATCCAAGCATCCTGGGCCTCCATAACACCTCAGCAGTGCCATAGGCTGATTGCCTCCATGCATTGCCACATTGAAGCAGTCATTTCTGCAAAAGGATTCCCGACCGAGTATTGAGTGCATAACTGTACAGAATTATTTGAAGGTTGACTTATTTGTATTAAGAACACTTTTCTTTTATTGGTCGGATGAAATGGGCTAATTTTGGAGATAGGAATTTTGAGTTTTCATGAGCTGTATGCCAAAATCCTCCGTATTAAGACAATAAAAGACCTGAAATATTTCAGTTAGTGTGCAATGAATCTAAAATATATGAATGTTCAAGTTTTTATCCTTAAAAAAGTTGAAAAATATATAGTGCTATAATCCTAAATATTAATAGAAATGTATATGTTTAAGTGTGCTTTCTATCAGTCTCAGAACCTGTTGGCCTTAGGTGACCCTTAAAGTGGTCACCTTAAGCCACTGGGGTGACAGTGGCATCAGATGTAGGAGTTTGCCCTGAAATGGAAGGGTTGATGGTTCAAGTCCCAGCTTTCAGTGTCTTTGTGTCCTTGGGCAATACACTTCACCTGCCTTGCCTACTGATGGTGGTCAGAGGGCCCGGTGGCACCAGTGTACAGCAGCTTCTGTCAGTGAGCCCCAGGGAAGCTGTGGATATAATGAAGCTTCCCAATATCAGTGTGTGAGTGCATGGATGAATGACTGAATGCACTATATGAGTACAGGCCATTTACCAAGGTTGGCCTTTATCATTTAGTTTTGCCTATTGAAATTCCTTTAGTAATACACCAGGTGCTTCTGGACAGGAAGGCTCAGAGATCCAACAGTCCATAGCCCGGTCAGGGGTCTGATCAGAACAGGAACAGGCAGATCCAGGGTTCCAAGAGTCCAACAATGAATTCAAGCAGAAATATTCAGATGGACTCTGGTAGGCTCAGTAGTTGAGAGACACAACAAGAAATGATATCCGGAAAACTACAGAACTTTAAACCGGCTTCCTCCACTGAGCCAAAACAGGAATAGGGCACACTCAGTGGATAAGAGCCAGGACATGAATAGAAAACCCCAGGAAAAAAAGACAAAAACTCTCTTACCACTAGCCTCAGAGAACAAGAACATGAACTATTGAAATCAGCAATGATCTCAAACAATCATCTGGGCCCGATAGCTCGGCTGAACCGTATATAAAACGGCAGGAGCAGGTGGATAACATTATAATTAATAACGTGGCGGAGTTAGGCAGGTGAGTGAAATGAGCATTAGGTCAGCTAACAGAGCAGTGATCCTGACAGGTTTGCAGAAATATAACTGAAAATAAAAATATACTCATTAAGTGTATGTTGAGCTGGATGGCAAAAATTATCATTCTTGCCAACTATGTAAAGTGACATTTGAAGACCCAAAAAAAGCACAAATCAAATGCCCTCCCCCTCACTGTGACATGTATACTTTTTTATTTCTGTTTTTATAAAGATGACATTTTGAAAAATACTAGAAATGACAACTTCCCAGTCACACCCCCTCATGTGTTCAGACAACGTTTTGGCAGCATATTCTAAATTGCTCCTGCTCCATCTCCCAAAAACCGTGCTGGTTGCTCTCGCTCTCATCATTCTTAGATGGTGGCTATTTTGCTGACAAAAAGATAAGCTTTCTTCTTGCTACTATGCTAAGTGTAAGACAGGGTCAAGAATTGGGCAGTTTCCTACCTTTTAAATAATTTGTAAGTCAGGTGTATTGAAGGAACCCCACAGATTTGGTGAAATGACAAAGTTTTTTTTCAGTGAAAAAAAAAAGGTTTATTGATCCTAAAGAGAAACAAACAAAAAAAACATATTTAGTGATTGTTGTGTATAAATTTCATTACAGGACTGCATGATACAGAGCCATAAAGTATTGATGTTATTTCTTCTAATTACAGATCCAAGTTTCGGAGAGGGCATTTACTTTGCAAGAACCGTTGGGAAGGCCCTGGAGCTGTGGAGGAATAGAAAGGAAGAGTACCTGTACTTTGTGGAGGCTGAGGTTCTGAGGGGAAAGTCAGTTTCTGGTAAACCAGATCTCATAATAGCTCCTGCCGTGGACAGAGATCCCAGCATTGTCTATGACAGCGTGGATGGAGGCCCTGATATCTCCGTTATCTTCAGTGGTTATCAAGCTTTACCCAAGTACATCATCATCTGTAAGAAGGAAGGAAAAGGAAGTGGTTTACATGTTTAGGGAGAGTCTATGAGTTATGTTACTCATAGTTCAATATAAGAAATTCATTTAATTTAAAAAATGATCAAACAGAAGCACCAGGAAAATAACCCAAGGTTATCAATGATACAAAAGATGCCTCAGTTATCAGCTTTACTTTCAGCCTCATTGAAACGATTGAAATACACACTTATTTAGCTCAAGTAAGAAATTCAAGACCTTCTAAAAATCCAGATTTAAAATTAGCTTAATAATCTTATAAGCAACAAAAATATGTGTTAGTTTATTACTTTAAGACTAAAAAATACTTTGGATAGATCCTTAAAGATATTTAGATTTTTTTGTAAATAAATCAGTAGTGTGAAAGTTTTTCAGTCTTTAAAATCTTTGTGGAAATCTTTCAAAAATATGGATTTAGTTTTTGTCTTATTATCCTTTTTATGAATCCTTTGTTTGAAAATTGTTTTGGGGAAAATGTAAATCACCCCTTTATATTTTACTGTATTAAAAATGTATATCTTTTTTGTTGAGTCATTAAATCTACAAATGAATCAGTTTATTTTACTTTACATTCTCTTAGCGATCATTCTTCATTTTCCTTTGATTAAAAAAATCTTCATTTAGGTGCTTTTTAGCACATCTGCTTGTATATTTCATGGGGATCTTTAACTATTATTGTATCAAAGTGTCTAAATTTAATAAAAGTTTAACCAATTTCTGTATACCTCACCAAAATATCAGCTTGAGATTTAATGAAGCTAAATATAGTTTGCATTTATCATACACTCTTGAATCATTCTTGAATTATTCGCTACTTCTTAAAATCTAAAACATGTTCACCACAAAAAAATACAAAACACAGCTGCCTATAAACTGACAGGCACTAAGAAATTTCAATTTATAGCTGCGTCTCTCTGATCTCTCCCATGGTTACTTTTAAAAAGCAGAATTATTCTTATAATATTAGTACTAATCAGGGGAAGCATAAGCTGGAAAACACCCCCATAGATTTAGGAAAGGCTTCATGTCGTAGTAGATTAAAAGTGTTTTTTCCATCCCTCTGGTTGAGTTTTAAAACTGATAAGTCTTCTGTTTTAGATAAATGTGTTTATAAAGTGTCTTATGCTTTGATGGGAATCAAATTTTGTTGCTTTGTGAGAGAGATGAAGGTAAACAAAACATTAAGTATGAAAAACCCAAGTAGCAAGCTTAAAAAGAACATATTTTAAGGAGTGTTTAAAAGTGTTTAACATGATGTGATTACTGGAAGATGGCTCTATAAGGCAAATAAAATTTATTGTGCATTACATGAAAACTAATTTTTTCTGCGCTGAAACAATAATAAGAAAATAAATACGTTTTAAATACAAAACGAGAAACTTTGTTGTTTGTTATTGTAATAATTTGCTCTGTAATAATGTAATGCACTTTTGTAAAATCAGACTTTCATGAATGACTGTGTTGTTCAAATGGTCAAGGGGCTGCTGTAAACCAATATCTTACAAAGGGACAAAAAAAAACAATAAAAGCACAGAAATATTTTTTGAAAATATTTGTAATCACCAAGCTAGTATATTCATCTGCATTATACTGTAAATTCATTAAAATACCACTCAATGATATTTGTTGGACAAATTACTCTTTCCTGTCTCTAGCTTTTTCTCTCTCCCCTTAGTTCTTATCCCCTCTTTCTTTCGCCCCTCCCTTTCAATCTCTGCATCCATTATACAGTGGGGCAAAAAAGTATTTAGTCAGCCACAATTGGTGCAAGTTTTCCCACTTAAAAAGATGAGAGAGGCCGGTAATTTTCATCATAGATATACCTCAACTATGAGAGACAAAATGAGAAAAAAAAATCCAGAAAATCACATTGTCTGATTTTTAAAGAATTTATTTGTAAAATATGGTGGAAAATAAGTATTTGGTCAATAACAAACAAGCAAGATTTCTGGCTCTCACAGACCTGTAACTTCTTCTGTAAGAGGCTCCTCTGTCCTCCACTCGTTACCTTCATTAATGGCACCTGTTTGAACCCGTTATCAGTATAAAAGACACCTGTCCACAACCTCAAACAGTCACACTCTAAACTCCACCATGGCCAAAACTAGAGAGCTGACAAAGGACACCCGAAACAAAATTATAGACCTGCACCAGGCTGGGAAGTCTGAATCTGCAATAGGTAAACAGCTTGGTGTGAAGAAATCAACTGTGGGATCATTTATTAGAAAATGGAAAACATACAAGACCACTGATAATCTTCCTCGATCTTGGGCTCCACGCAAGATCTCACCCCGTGGGGTCAAAATGATCACAAGAACGGTGAGTAAAAATCCCAGAACCACACGGGGGGACCTAGTGAATGACCTGCAGAGAGCTGGGACCAAAGTAACAAAGGCTACCATCAGTAACACACTACGCCGCCAGGGACTCAAATCCTGCAGTGCCAGACGTGTCCCCCTGCTTAAGCCAGTACATGTCAAGGCCCGTCTCAAGTTTGCTAGAGAGCATTTGGATGATCCAGACGATGACTGGGAGAATATCATATGGTCAGATGAAACCAAAATAGAACTTTTTGGTAAAAACTCTACTCGTCGTGTTTGGAGGAGAGAGAATGCTGAGTTGCATCCAAAGAACACCATACCTACAGTGAAGCATGGGGGTGGAAACATCATGCTTTGGGTCTGTTTTTCTGCTAAGGGACCAGGACGACTGATCCGTGTGAAGGAAAGAATGAATGGGGCCATGTATCGTCAAATTTTGAGTGAAAACCTCCTTCCATCAGCAAGGGCATTGAAGATGAAACGTGGCTGGGTCTTTCAGCCTGACAATGATCCCAAACACACCGCCCGGGTAACGAAGGAGTGGCTTCGTAAGAAGCATTTCAAGGTCCTGGAGTGGCCTAGCCAGTCTCCAGATCTCAAGCCCATAGAAAATCTTTGGAGGGAGTTGAAAGTCCGTGTTGCCCAGCGACAGCCCCAGAACATCACTGCTCTAGAGGAGATCTGCATGGAGGAATGGGTCAAAATACCAGCAACAGTGTGTGAAAACCTTGTGAAGACTTACAGAAAACGTTTGATCTCTGTCATTGCCAACAAAGGGTATATAACAAAGTATTGAGATGAACTTTTGTTATTGACCAAATACTTATTTTCCCCACTGTATATGATTCTCCTCCCTAAAAAAATTTCTGTGAAGTTTAATATACAGGTATCAAGTGGAACATCAGCTAGCTCTGGGATATTTATTCCCTGAGCCATATTGGCAAAACAGGACACCCAAAAATTGTCAAAGCTCAGAACAGAGGACCCCGTATTCAAGGCAGACAGACAGATATTTCAAAAAAGCATTTAAGTGATGAATCTGCAGGAAACAGCTAGGGCATCTAAGGCAGGAACCTCTGCAGGAAGAAAACAAAGGTTAGTGACCACGTCAATCTGGCAGAGGAAGATTATAAACGTGTGAGTCACTAACCTGGTCTTAGAGTTCAGTCTGTGCCCAGTGGACGATGTTTATTCTTGCCAAAGGGTGAAGCCAAAGCCTTTGTCCAGGACATGCTCAGGATATAGAACCAGGAGATCAGAGATCCAAAGAGGTTCCGAAGGGAAATCCAGGATGGTGTCAGAAATCAGTTCCAAGTACGATGCACAGGCAGAAATCCAACAGGAGTCAGAGAAAAGATCAGGCAAACAGATCAGAATAGGGACAGGCAGGCTCAGAGGTCCAAAGACAGAATGGGTCAGGATTGGGCAATGAGAAACACTCTAGTAGGCTAGAGAACTCTCACCTCAAAGATGTCAGGTTAGAGGGCTGCTTACTTAAGCAGGTGGATCAGATGAACGGCAACGAGAAACTGTGCAGAGTTAGGCAGGTGAATTAAATGAGTAATCCAGCCAGTCATCAGCACCATGATCATGATAAAATTAGGCTGAGCTCTTTTTTAACACCAGAGCTAACTAAGCTAAAAGCTATTGTAAGGCAAAAAAATGATACAACCCTTAAAGTTGTGGGTCAAGGATCTCTTGTAGACTAACACAGCACTGATTTAAGCTAGGCATCATTGCAAGTTAAAGTTGTTCTAATGACTTTTTGATAGTTGCAGGAAAAAAATTAGTAGCAGACACATGTAAAGCCCAGTTATTATAATGTAGGGCAGTTTAACTTGCTGGTTGGAGAAATATTAACTCAAACAAAGTTCAGTCAGCTTAGAGTGGTCCACGCCCTGTCAGAGTTTACTTTCACTTTTTCATTCTGCTGGACTTTCCATGCTGGTGAAGGTAAGTGCTACGCCTCTGTGTTTAGTCTTTTATGGTTAATGCATGAATGATATATTAAAATGTACCTAAAGCTGGACTGAAATTGGTTTAGTCATTCATAATTTGTATGCAAATGTGACTTCAAATAGGTTCTGGTGTTTCTGATTAAGTAAATTAAAATGAAACTTGACAACCATGAAGTCAATATTTGTTACATCAACTTCTTAAGAACAAATTGCTATTATTAATTTGTATGCGAAAATAACAACCAATACTGCACTGTATTTCAGCATTCTGTATTAAAGAAACACATTATTAAAAGAAGAGTAACATGGTTACTTTAGAGCAGTAGCTCTCAATCCCGCTCCTCAAGTACCACTGCCCTGCATGTTGGAGATTTCTCTTTGCTTACACACAATAGGTGTTGCATTAGTTGAACCAGTTGTCCTGCCTCAGATAGACATCTTAAACATGCATTTTTTTAAATTAAATTTTCCAGATGGATATACAAAAATTAAAGCTACAGTGTATAATAATTAAAGGGATATACAGTCAGAAATTTAATATATTATACATAAGTATGTTATTTATCATCATCTACGAGCTCAGCCTCTTAACCTTAATATTTGCGTTGCCTTAGAATTCGTTATTTATAATTACATAGGAGCGGGTCTCGCAGCCATGGAGGCAGACATCTTTGCGCTACGGCAGCGCAGAGCCAACAAACTAGCGATTGCGAGATCGCCCATTACGCTCGAAAGTAACTACAGCAAGTTGAGAGAGATGAACTGAGACAGTACTGAACACACAGACTAATGAAATACTATCTGTAAAATTATCTATGTAAACAAACCTCATCACTTGAGAAGGTAGGTGATGCGGACGTCGTGGAAGACATTTTGTCCCGTAACGCTCGCCGTACTGTTGGGGGGGAGAAGCGGTGGGGGGGAGATGTTCATGTTGCTGCGGTCTGCAGTCTGGACGTTAGATGTCGCTGAAAATTACACACTCTAGCTTTAACATGCCCCGAATGTTTTAGATATTTCTCTGCTTTAATTCTCCAGATTCAGATAATTGCAGTTTAGCAAAGCCTGTTAAAATATACTATACATTTATATCAAATGCGTGAAATCTGAGACACATGCCTGACTTGTAAGACATTGTCTTAAAGAAGAGGTTTGAAAACCATTGCTTCTAACGTGATAGATTTTTATATGGAAAAAAAAAATTGTGATATAATGAACTCTAGCTAATATTTTTTGCACACCCCAAATGTTGCTGTTATTGTTAGATTTGATGTTTCCACAATTTCTCTCCATCAAAAATATATATAAAGTATTTTTTTTACATACTTTTAATCATCACTAGTGTCATTAGTACAAAAAAGTATTTTGACATATATATTGAAGTCATATTGCATATCCCTGAAAAAGAACACTTAAAAAAAAGTGGGGTATCATATGCGACAGACATCCTTCACAAGTTTAAGATTCCCATTGAACTGTGTCCTTCTGATGTTAATAGAGTGCTGTACGTTCTTTCCATAGGTTCATTAAGAAAAGATGGCCAGTAAACTAGAGATTCCTCTTCATGAAGAGATATTTACAATAATGAGACAACATGGAGCCAATCTGGGCAACATCCTGGACACTAAATTCAGATGTGTTGCTGCTGTTTGGGGTGTGCGGCTGGAGAATCAGAGCAGCACTCCATACCAGAGAGGACCATCAACCATTTCTGCAGAGAAGAGGCTTGAAATCATTATGCCTTCGGGTGTAAAGGTGTCTGTATGGAAGGCTGATCTCACCACCTTCCCTACCGTTGCTGTTGTGAATGCAGCTAATGAAAAGTTACAGCACTATGGAGGCCTTGCTCGAGCTCTGTCCACTGCTGGTGGTCCTCAAATCCAAAAGGAAAGTGATGATTATATTAAAAAGTATGTAAAATTAGAAACAGGGGAGGCAGTTGTTTTTGACGCAGGGCTACTACCATGCAAAAAGATCATTCATGCTGTGGGTCCAGAGCTGCCATACAAACCTACAAAGAACGATGTGTCAAAAGCGAGGCCATTTTTGAAGAAAACTATCTTGAGCATTTTTGACAAAGTTGAAAAACACGGTCTGGGGAATGTTGCCATTCCTGCCATAAGCTCTGGATTGTTCAACTACCCACTGCCAGAATGTGCCCACATCATAGTGTCTACCGTTAAACAGTACTATGAGTGCCTGTCCCCTCGCAGACGTGTTGCTCAAGAGATCTTCCTAGTGAACCATGATGAACCCACAGTGCAGGCCATGGAGACAGCATGCCATCAGATATTCAGGCCTCAACGGAATCATGAAAAAGTAAGGATCAATTAAAAATGTCTTTTAAAGAATAGATGGTTTATTTCAGTGGTAATTAAACAAGAATAACCTAATTTGATTGATTGATTGACTTTATTGATCTCACATTGGAGACATTTTTTGTTACATTGGCTCAAATAGTCAAGAAGAAGTATGTGCCAAAGGAAGAAAAGGGTGCATGGGATATGTACAGGGATGGGATATATATGCTGTGGTGCTGCTCAGGCTCTCTCTGTTTGGGCTTAGTTCTCTTTTCTGTGATATCTCTAAATTACTCTAATTGTCAACAAGCACCTTTATATTACATACATTACTACATATTTTTAATGCTGCACTTTTCTACCGGGCACCTTTTGGCTTCACACAGTTTTTATTTCTGGTGGTTTAGTGATATACCAGCGGACTACAATGATAATTGGCTATCTTTTGGGGGAAAATCTGGTCTGGTCTCCACTGCAGAGGAGATAAACAGGCAAAGAGATTCTTTAAATGTCGTATTGCCTTTCCGGACTATAATCTGCAAAAGTGAAACTTTCTTTTGGGGGTTAAGTAATTATGAAGGTTACTAACAAACTGTTTAAAAATTCATCTTATGTTGAATAAACCACATATTTTTTTCACATTTTTCTCAATTGGAGTAATTTTAATCTTAATTAGATTTTCATGATTTACTATTTTAGGATTATTTTATAATTAATTAGATTTTGGTCATGGGGAAGACACTGTCTGGAAGGAGTAATGAGTGGGTAACAGTAGAGAACAGAGAGGTGTGTTAAACTTTGATTCTGCACCCTTGGTTGTCAGGTTTTGGAGGACTAATCCGTTTGTTCAGATTCCTAGAAAGAAGAGCTGCACCATCTAAAGTGGGATTGATGCCATTTCTGACTGTATTGTCTGTATGTGTCGTGAATCGGCGCTATAAAGTGAACTGAATCGAGTTGGATTGAATTATTTCTCCAGTGATACAGCTTTTTTTATACTGTTAAAAAAAAACAGGGTCTCAAGGATTGACTGATGATGGATGGATGGACGGACGGACGGACGGATGGCTTCTTTTCTACTGATAGATTTTTTTCTTGTAGTAATAAACTTGCTATTTGTCCTCTCTAACCAGGCCTTTAAAGAAGAAAAGGTAAACATCCGGAAAGGATCACAACATTTGAGCTCTCCACATAGTAAGGATAAATATTTCTGTTAATCAGACACCATTTTCATGTCCAAAATGACTTTAATTAAAAATGCTCCTGCCTTCATGTGTTTATAAAGCCAATATATGGTGGAAAAACTGAACTCAGTTATTGAGCGTAAACATTTACTGTCTGATTAAAACTGAGACCTGTCCACAGAGGGATTAGGGCTAGGAGTGAAGTGCAGCCTGAAACACTCTCCAGGTCAATCTTCGGGGTCCCAACCCCATCCGACGCCAGAAGGTGAATACAGAACCTGTAGCAAATTCTTGCTCCACATGAAAAGGGATACATATTTTTACATCTTACAAATATATTTAAAGGTTTTATTTTAAATATCATTAGGAGTAAAAGAGTTGTGTAACGTTTCATTTAACAGCATCTGGGCGTAAAGCTGATTCCTACATTAGGAGAGCTTCAACTCCACACCTCATCCTGCTTGGTCCGTCTGATGAGTCAACACACGAGGCTGAGAAGTGGCTCAATCGTCTTCTCTCAATGCAATCTCACACCATTACGATCTACAACAACTTTATCTCACACTTCAGGATGGAAGACCATCTCAGGCTAGGGTCATCAAAAGGGTTGTTAATGAAAAAGTACTTGATTCAAGGTCATGCATCTATAGAAATAACCTCAAAGACAAAGGAAGAGACTGTTTTTGCTGCTCTGGAGGTGGAGGCCATGCTCTGTAAAATCCAGAAGGAGTTCATCTCAGAGGAAGAAGGTGACCTGCAGATGTTGTCTCAAACAGAGCTATCCTGTAAAAGGGAAACAATTGAAAAGTCAAGTAAAGAATTCTTGGATCGATCTGCTGCGTTCGGCATTTACGGGCTCAGAGTAATGAAGGTAAATATGTTCAAACACCTGAAGATGTCAGTCAGCCTGCTTCCTTAACATTTAGCTGACCTCCCAGTTGGATTTTGGAGGTCAACACAATGATTCATAAACATTAGACTAAACCTAATAGACCAATTTTTAATTTGATAATCAAATTTACCTCATGGTTGTGATTTACATCGGATCTATAATGTTCTAAAACTGCATTTTTTTAGGTGGAAAAACTGGAGAACAATCCTCTGAAGTTGATGTTCAACCTGAAGAAAAAGCAGCTTGGCAGTTCATCTTCTAGAACCATATTTCAGTGCATCCCAGCACAGTTCTGTGAGATGATCAGTAGGATTGGGTTCCAGGCTGAGTGTTCACCGCCTGAAGGTAAATCACCAAAACTATGAGGGGTTTGCTTTTTTTTTTATAACAAACTTTCAAATTCTTTGACGAGTTTTGAATATATATTTCTATATATTACTTTTGCCAAGGTAACCAGCTTCATCTGTGTTGCAGTTTCCTGCTAATATTTGAGCTAGCAGAAACAATCATGGTATTTGACCAGAACTTTTTTCATAGATGTCCTATAACTCTTTTTAACAGACGCCCTACAGCCAATTAGAACCGAGTATTCATCCAGACTGTGGTATATTTAATGATGACTTTACTTACCAACTTCCAACTCTTAAAGAGAAGCAATTAGCCAAAAGTTATTTCGCTGGTAGGAATGAAGAGTACTAGCCTCGTGAGACCGTCCTGATCTCGCGAGCTTTCAAGGTTTCACTCGCAGATCAGTCCGGAGACTCTCCGTTAAAGAAAATTTGCAGCCGTTCACCAAACGAACGTCCAATCAGCGTTGGCTTTGAGGCGGGTTGGGGTGTGACGCAACGAGAAGCGTGACAGTTCAGTCTAAAGAACATGGCGGCTTCAGCCGATGAAACTAGCGTTAGCGTGGCTATCGAGCAAGTTTTATCGGAATTACAGAGTATTTCTTCACTGAAAGAAGAGCAAAACACTGCTCTGGAGGCTTTTCTCAGAGGAAAAGATGTTTTTGCTCTTCTCCCGACTGGTTTCGGCAAGAGTTTAATCTATCAATTGGCTCCTCTTCGTCGTCGCTCTGTTAGTACGTCATATGCTTCGTTGATCTGATTGGTTTATTTGGCCCGTCTATCACCAACATAGGCCAATCAGCTAACCAGTATTTTCGCCCCTTCCCAAAATTACTTCAACGGAAGGTTTCCAGATGGATATACGGAGCAAATCCATCTGGCGGAGTCAGGTTAGTTAAGATGCCCCTCAGAGATTGTTTTTTGGGTCAAACTTAGGCTACTTCTGTTTCCCTGTCATATATTGCATGTGTTCCTTTTCACTCAAAGTCAGTGGATTGTTTAGTTAGTGTCAAAATCTTATACTTAGGTCCAGTATACACAAAATAAGTTGTTCAATGTGAGACAAGGTATTCAGAGGTAAATGATGAGCAACTTCCTGCCTATAAGTCAAGTTTAGTGAAGAAACCAGGATTTGGTCAACTTAAAGGTATACTATGCAACCGGTGTTGATTTTCCAGCGAGGCTCCCTCCAGAGGGCGAAAGTAAAAGTGCACTGTCGTAAATATGCTCAGCTGTTCTCCTGGTTTCTCTGTCAAGCCAGGCGCGGTTGTTTTGAGCTTAGAAGACAGGTGCACGCAACAAATCACCATGTCTACTGCGGTAGACTCTTTCTTGCCTGCTCCGACATGGGCTTTCGGTCTTTTCTCGCTGGTTCCGCCATGATAACTGCACAAATATCGCCACTGCGCTAGCAACGAGCATGCCTTTCACTGGGGGCGTGTAGCAGTTCTCGCCATAAAGCAAGACCGACTCTCGCGAGACTTCTGAGCCTGTGGGTGCGGGCCGAGGGCTTCTGCAATTGCAAGTACGGTATTTCCCCTACAAACCACCAGGGCGGCCGAGAAAACCTTTGTTCGACCTGAAATGACTCATTTAATTATTCAAAATGTTATGGAACACATTAACTGAAAAATGTTTCATAGTATGCCTTTAAACAGCATCATTCCAACATTTTCTGTATAAATTGTTTTAAGGAACTGCATGATATCAAAGCCATATTAATACAGCTAAATAATGATGTCATCTCCTCTAATAACAGATCCAAAGAATGTGGGGATCTATTTTGCTGGAAATGTGAAGAAAGCCCTGGAGATGTGGAAGAAGGGAAATGAAGAGTACCTGTACTTTGTGGAGGCTGAAGTGGTGACAGGAAAATCAGCCTCTGATTACCCAGGAAACCCAATGCCTCGTCCAGCTGAAAAAGAGCCTAAATTTATCCATGACAGTGTGGATGCAGGCCCAGATGTATCCGTTATCCTCAGTGGGTATCAAGCTTTACCGATGTACATCATTATCTGTAAAATGGATCCAATAATTCACAACAGGAGGCAGGACTGTACGATCCGTGACTCTCGTCGTCAGAATTACCCATATGCAGTTTAACCTGATAAATTTTAGTTATCAGGTAAAACTGTTCACTGGAGAGTTTCATTAGTGGCTTGATATGTTTCACAGACTACAAAATAAGAAAAACAGAGAGCGTCGTTTGGAGTCTTTGTGTCACATTCCTAATTATCTGATTGGTTCTAACATGATGAGACTGACCCTGTTAATCCCGCCTTTAAAATCAAGCTGTACCAGCGCTTTAGCAGACTGATACGATGCATACACAACAAATCAGTCTACATTTGTTCACTGTTAAATATAAGAATCAGATTTCATAAACGAATAATCAAACAGAACCTCCAGCAAAATATCCCCAGTTTTAACAGATATATGATAGTTTATGCACTTTCACCTTTATCTATGTTGAAATAAGACAAATAAAAAAAACTTAATTAACTCTAATTACAGATTCAAATGGAGTTAAACTCAGATATAGAGAATAGAGATACAACATCAATTATATTATACATTTGTTTATAATCATTTAACACTAATAAGTATTACTTTCATATATTAATATATTTTATAGGGGTGGACTGATGAATCTTTGAACATTATAGCACGACTGTTTATAAATGATCAACTCTTCTTAGGGCAAGGTAAGGTTATTTGTTTGAACATCACAGTAACAGGAGAACCACAGTCTGTTTTTATAGATGTTATAGTGAAACTGGAGTCCAGACTTTGACCATTTTCTCACTCCTGCCTGTGGCAGCAAATTTCCACTGAGACTTTTTCTCCCTAGAAAAGACATTTTGATTGGAGGAATGGAATTGAAGTGATTGAAAATTTTAGAATAAAAGCTCATCTACAGAATTAGAGGGAACAGCAGAGGTAGAGGAGTAACTGTAAGGTTTTAGTAGCTCCATCACTGAAGATGCATTTTATTTGGCTAACTGAGTAACTGGAAATTATGCTTTCAAATAAAGCAGAAAAGTGCTCAAATTGAGCAACAGTTAGACACTTTATGAATATTTAAACCAGAGGTCAAGGATTGGCTAATCCGGACCCAACGTTTCTAAATAATTACGAGTTGTCCAATTGAAGTTTATAATTTCACTTGTGCCGCTTCTCCTGTTAATACGGTAAAGCCCTCCGGAGCGTCCGGCTCCAGGCTGCACGTGATCCAAATGAGCCAATGAGCTGTCAGTCTGGGTTGCTGCTGCTGCTACTTTTAGACACAGCAGGCAAACCTGTGGCAAGTCGGTGAATATGTGAATATGTGAAACAGGAAATTGTCTATATACCAAACTAAATAATTGTTGTTCCCTACTTTAAAAAAAAAAAAAAAAAACACCTTAGATTTTGAAATGGGAAAGTGTTTTATTTTTTTATATATATATATCTATATATCATTTTTAAAAGTCAATGTATAACATGGATGCATTAACACCTAACTTTATTTCGGTGTTAAATTGTGTTTAAACTAACAGATTATGATTAAAAATGTCTCCGGACCTTTACTGGTTGAGGATTTTCTTTATTCAGACCCTGCTGATTTTCACCCCTGGTTTAGACCCTTAGTGATGATCAGGTCTAAAATATGTTTATGCGTTCGCTGTTTAACATGCTGATCAGACTTCATTTCCAAAATTTAACACAAAGGTATTTTGCTAACTGTCAACATGAATATTAAAGTCGCAGTGGTGAATTTTGTAGATTTAATGGAGCAACTGAGGAAAAATCCAAAAATGCAAAAATACAAAGACCCCAAAAGAAAAAAACGTTGGGGAAAACTCAGGTAGGAATTCATGTAACCATGTTTTTTTTTTTTTTTTTACTTCCAGATTATGGTCTGTGATAAAGTCCTGAATTAATGACGCTTCTTCTGTCTTTTGGGTTTAATTGAAAAAATAATTCGGCAATCCTTTATAAAAGTAAAAATAAATATTCTAATTTGGAGTAACAAGTATAAAGTAATCCAACTTTTCTTTAGTTTTGGCAAAGAGATAAAAAGTTAAGAGTAAAATAATCTAAGTAAGCATTTGGGAGAGAAAAGTGTCAGAAAAAAAGGAAACCAGGAGTAAAAAAAAAATAATATATGTATATATTTTTTTCTTTTTCACTCGTTGAAATCATTATCAAAATATTTTGTTTTGCTTTTAATTCCTGTCTTTTGAAACATTGTATGATATATTTTTCTGTTGATATTTCTTTAGGGAAAGATGACCATATAATAGAGCAACAATTGTAATAGATAATCTGTTGCTGATCAAAGTGTGAATTATGTTACTGAATCAGAACATTTAGATATATAGCTAATGGAAGCAATAAATTTAGAAATGAATTATTTTATTTAGATTTTAGTGGAAATAATTATTTGTGTTCTATATAAACAAAATCTACATTTAGGTGCCTTGTAGCACATCTGCATGAATATTTCTGGTGGATTTTGCCTATTCTTGTATTATAAAAGGGTTAACATTCAATAAGAACGTCTCTTAACAAATTGACCAGCTGTACACAACACTAATAATTAATAAAGGAAGTGTGAAACAAGTAAAACAAAGCATTTTGACTGATTTTGTAAAGCACAGAAAAGTGTAATTAGCAGCAATGAATGCAATTTACATTTGCATAAGTGTGCTGGTTTATTGAGACAGCCTTTTCACTCACCTCTACAAAATCTGCAACATGTATACTTCAATTAATATCATCCACAGCTGCCTGTAATCTGAGTGAGACTAGAAAAAAATCTCTGAAATCCGCTGATTACCTGTGGACAGCAGAATCAGTCTTTGAGTCGTGTTACTTGTGTAAAAACAATAAATTTAATTGCTCATGTCCATGTAGTTGCGTTGTTACTTCACCCCAATCAGTGGAAGCTGAGGTAATAAACACACCCCATACATTTGATGGAGGCTCCTTCTTTAGTAGACTAGAAATCCTTTTAATGCTTATTATTGAATTTTAAATATAGACTTATAGGTCAATGTAAAACTCGCCTGTTTTTGATAAGTATGTTTATAAAGTAGGTGTTTATTTCATGCTTTTGTTTTAATGGAAACCAAATTATGTTGTTTTCTGCATGACATGTCAAGTACTGTATAGATAAAGTTGACCTAAAATTTTAAATTCTGGGAAACATGTAAAGAAGCCCATTGTTTAAATAAGAAATCAAATATTTAAACTGGGGGGCAGCAAGAAGGTTCTGGGTTCGGGGTCTTTCTGCATGGAGTTTGCATGTTCTCCCTGAGCATGCGTGGGTTCTCTCAGGGTACTCCGGCTTCCTACCACAGTCCAAAAACATGACTGTTAGGTTAATTGGCTTCTCTAAATTCTCCTTAGGTGTGCGTGAATGGTTGTTTGTCCTGTTTGTCTCTGTGTTGCCCTGCGATGTACTGGCGACCTGTCCAGGCTGGACCCCGCCTCTCGCCAGTTGGCAGGGTATATATTCTTTGGCTGTGACTGCTGGATTATATGGAAGCCTTGAAATGCAGCTGTATATTTTATACATTTTTTTAGAATAATGTAGGTTTTTTTTCATTTGGTCTTTTTCTGTTGTTTTGTTTTGTCTTTTCACAGGCAGGCAGGGGAGGATGATTTAGAGGCTATTTTTTTATGTTCACAAAATCATTATTTTTTTCCTTTGACTTATCCACTGCAAACGGCTGGTTCGAACATTCAAGAACCAAACCATCTGCTCTCCCCACAGCTTGAATAAGATCTCAGAGATATTTGGGCATTTCTCATTTTTCTCCAGCAGGTGGACCCAATGATTCATCCAACCTATTAAACCCATCTATACTTCATAGATCTGTAATCCAATATCAACCATTATAATACCGGTACTTTGATTCCAGTGAACATACAGTAGGGGGGACTGGGGACAGTGACTAATTTTTTTTTTCTTTTCTCTCAGTCCAAAACTACTAAGCCTAAACCAACTCTTCATTTATATATTAAACTTGTATTTGTCTGCTAATTGCCAGTATGATAACATGCATTTTACACAATATTTATAAAAACAATCTCAACTACGGCAGCTGACTCCATCCCTGGGATGGTGGCTACACCTCTCAGGGACGGTTACAACGTCATAAATCCACTTTATTTCATAAATAAACTTTGTTTGTTTTTTCTCAACGATTGTCTAGTCGTCAGAATGTATCTTGCTTGCAGAAACCTTCCCCAGTCTCTTCTACATTTCCATGCTTGCATCAAAATTCAGTAGGTCTTTACAGGTGAAAAATATTTTTCTTAAATCTAAAAGTGTAAATGCTTGATCATGAAAATGAGGGACGTGTTATTCCACATAAAGCAACAGGTATGTTAAAACCCCTTAAAAAGTGATTAAATAATTTGTGATGGTAACCCTTACATTTGAAAGGTCCAGCATCTCCATTGATGATGAATTATTTCTCTTTGTCCATTGAATGTTTTTTGTGGATATTTTAGTGCTTGTCAAACCAAACATTCAACATAAAGAATTAGTGAACAGCTACTACAGTTTGACTGTATTTTACACACAGGCAAAATATGCCCAATGTCTAAAACTACACTTTTTCTTTTGCTCCCTGCTGCCTCCTCCACTCCGGTAAAAGACCATAGTCTCATCCCAGTTCATAATGGTCCTATACCAGTCCCTTTATTCATAGAAATTGACCGGAAAAAAAGAGAAAAGAAATGACACTTAAATCATTTACTTACAAATAAATCTTACAAATACACCCTAAATACAAAGTAACATAAGAACCCATTTACCCAACTTCCAATTGTAGAGAGAGATGAAGCTATGAGAAAGAAAACAAGTTGTGGGGCAATTCACCAATCAAGGCCTTTAAAGTGGCCTAAGGAAAGCCACTCTTTTATAAAAGGCATGTGGAAACCAGTCTGGAGTTTTTTCAAAAGACACCAGAAGAACTCTAAGATAATAATAATAGAACTATATTGATCTCACACTGGAAAAATTCACCTCTGCATTTAACCCATCCCCTTGGGGAGCAGTGGGCTGCCACTGTGCAGCGTCCGGGGAGCAGTGTGAGGTTAAGGGTCTTGCTCAGGGACCCAGAGCGGCAGTCTGTGGGAGCTGAACTCAGAACCTACGGGACCCAAGCGCAATGCTCTAAACACTAGGCCACCACTCCCCTAAGACAATGAGAAAACAACATTCTAAGGTTTAATTAGATTAAAATTGAACTCTGGTATGAATGCCAGGAGATATAGGCACCGCTCATCACCAGGCCATTTCCATCCCTACAGTAAAGCATGGCAGTGGTAGCATCATTCTATGGAAATATTTCTCAGTGACAAAAACTGGTGATCACGATAGTGGCAAAGATGAATGCACCAATGTTCAGAGACATCTTGG